CCCAAATTAGAACTACTGCTGGGACATCCCCAACATGTGATCAACCAGCTTTTACTTGAAGACCTCCAAAAAGGAGAGCCCATGACCTGCTACATCAGCCCACTCCACTTTGGGACAGCTAATAAGAATTTTACAGTTGAGGAAACGGAGGCAAACAGAGGTTAAGTGATTTACCCAAGGTCATACAGCTAGTAATAGTAATAAGAATAATAATCAAACAGTTAACATTTATATAGTGCTTACTACATGCCAAGCACTGTGCTAAGCACTTTACAATTATTATCTGTTTTGATCCTCACAACAACTGTGGGAGGTGAGTGCTATTATTATTCCCATTTTACAGATGAGGAAATTGAGGCAAACAGGTTAAGTGACTTGCCCAAGATCACACAGCTAGTGTTTGAGGCTGAATTTGAACTCAGGGATGACTCTGGGCCCAGTTCCATTTGAAACAATCGTTTTTTTTCTTAAGCCTGTTTTTTTAGAGCTACATTTCAAGAAATCAAAAATTAAAACAAGAAATAAACTGTCCCAGCTAAAAAAGAAAAAAAGAAAAGAAAAACAGACACAGACTGTGTGACCCTGGGCAAATCAGAGAACTACACAGGTCTAGTTCCTATGTCTATACTTTCTCCTTGCTCTAGGCAACTCTGTAAGACACCAAGTCGTAGAGAACGTACCTAAGAGGTATTTTCCTCTTTTGGGAAACTAGACAGGTTTAGTCCCTGCCCCCATACTTTCTCCTCTCCTGGGAACCCTGAAAAACAAAGTGTTACATTATCACCAATTTTCATGGTATCCAAGATCTTCTACCTGCTCGGTATGGTGAGCTCGAAATTCAGTTGCCTTGAAATAAACCAGGTGATAAGAAATCATAAATATGAATCACTTAGCAATACATTTTACTGTCCCCTCCCTTCCTCTGGACATAGTAATCAAATCAATAGTAAATAAAATCCATTTCTGTCAGCTTCCGTTTCCCCATCTGTAAAATGGGGATAATAACAGGACCTAGGGTTGTTGTGAAGATAAAATAAGATAATACTTGTAAAACACTTCAAACCTTAAAGTGATCTATAAATGCTAGTAGTAGTAGGAACATCGGCAGCAGCATTGTTTCTGGACAGAATGGGCCAGTTAATTGCCCTACAGATCAACTCATTATCCTTTTTCCTGACCAAGATGTCCCTTGGCCACCATTCCCCTCCCTGTGCTTGTTGTTTTACCCTATTATGAGGTTCTTGACCTTTTTTATGTCATAGCCCCTTTGACAGACTGGTGGAGTTTATTCACCTCTTCTCAGAATGTTTTAAAAATATATATAAATATAATATAATATAATATAATATAATATAATATAATATAATATAATATATATAATATAATATAATATAATATAATATAATATAATATAATATAATACAATACAATACAATACAATATAATACAACATAATATAATACAACATAACATAACATAACATAACATAACATAACATAACATAACATAACATACATAACATAACATAACATAACATAATATAATATAATATAATATAATATAATATAATATAATATAATATAATATATAACATTACTATAATATAATATAACATAACAATATAACATAATATAATATATATATATACATGGGATTATAAAGGAAACCAATTATATTGAAGAAAAGTTATAATTTTTCTCATCCAAATTCTCAGATCCTCTGACATCCATTCATGAATCCTATAGGGGTTTGTGGGCCTTAGGTTAAGAAAACCTGCTCTGTTAGAATGTAAACTCCTTGAGATCAGAAGCTATTTTTCTTTTTATATATTTGTATCCCTAGTGCTTAGTTCTGTTCTTGGCCCACTGTAATGAAGGACAAACCATAACATATACAACAACTGCTTACTGATGTTTTTTCATTCATTCATAGTCTTATCTTGCATAAAAGTGTAATGAGGATCTTGATTCATGAATTTGTTTTTGTTCTCCAGATGGCAAATGTAGAAATCAGGTACTGGTCAAATATTGCACTTGCAAACCATAGTCTTAATAGCTAGTCAATAAGACCTTAAATATGCATGCACATATTTCATAGAAATTAGCTCATAGGATCCTCACAACAACTGTATGTATGAGGCACAATAGATATAACCTGCTGTTCAAAAGCCATGTAGCAGAATTTTATGCAAATAGCCTTTGGGCTACAGGCATAGCTATCAACCCCACCGAGATGATGAAACTCTACTTAGAAATGGGTTAGTTAGGAAGGAACAGGTAGTGAGTAGCAGAACAAGGATTTAACCCTTGTTAAATGTTCATGTTTGAACTTTGAAGGACAAAAGTATTTATCATAGTATAACTTTGTAGAGATTGAATTTTAATGAAAGGGTAAACTGAGGTAGATCTCAGAGCAAAATAACATTTATTAACAAGGGCATGTTACCTGTCAATAAATGGGCCAGAGGCTTGCCTCTATTAATGCCAAAGACCCGGAGCAAGAGGACAATTCTTCTTATATAGAATTTTGGGAAGTGCAAAGCAAAGCAAAGAGCAGGGTGGATGACATCATGGGATTGAGGGCAACATGATTGGTCACAGAATTGAGGCACAGGGAACGACATGATTGGTTGGAAATTTGGTAATGGGGGCTAGCAATGACCCCCCCTTCTCCTTTCATGAGACTGAGAAGTGTTCATTGTCCGAGTGCGGGTGTGAGATAGTAGCCCAGACTTTTGGACAGCAAACTGGACATCCCTGAAGGATAGCTTGGTGGAGTAAGGGTATCAGGCCCAAACTTCCTTACGTTTGCACACATTCACCAAGATTAGTTAAATTCCTTGAGGCAGGAGAGCTGGATTTTTAAACTTAACCCATCACAGGCCAGCTGAACACTGAATTAAGTTCAGAGACAAAGAACTGTGACTTACGCAGGGCAAAATCAATTAATTGTAAATATGACCAATAAGAAAATGATACAGGATCAATCTTAATCTTCTCAACTTATAGGAATAAATAGCAAGAAGCTTACAGAATACATATTAATGTATCCAGATATTCAAAACAGCAGCTATCAGCTATCATTTATATAGTGTTTCAGGCACCGTTCTAAACACTTTACAAATATTATCTCATTGCTGTTCAGCCGTGTCTGACTCTGTGTAACTCCGTTTGGAGTTTTCTTGGCAGAGATACTGGAATGGTTTGCCATTTCCTTCTTCAGCTCGTTTTACAGATGAGGAAACTGAGGCAAACAGGGTGAAGTGACTTGCCCAGGGTCACAAGCAAGTAGGTGTCTGAGGCTACATTTGAACTCAGGAAGATGATTCTTCCTGACTCCAGGCCTGGTATTCTTTCCACTGCACCACTTAGCTGCCCATTATCTCATTAGCTCTTTACAAAAAATATAGCTGCATCATGGGATATCTTTTTAAACTATGTTTTCCAGAATTTATTGTTGTATGTTAAACCTTTTGAAATCAAATATATAATAATGATGATGATAATAGTGCTTTAAAGGTTTGCAATGGGCTTACAAATATTTGATTATTTGACACAACATTGAGAGGTAGGTGCTATTCTTCATTTCATTTTTCAGATGATGAAACTGAGGCAGACAGAAGTTAAATGATTTGTCCAGGGTAACACAGTTAGAAAATATCTGGCAGTAAATGTGAAATCAGGTTTTACCTGACCCTATCCAAAGGCGCCACCTAGCTGCCTCTATTTAGAACTGGCAAGGACTTTGGAGACCATTAGTCCAATCCCTTTATTATTATTATTTTTTTACAAATAAGAAAATGGAGGCTTAGAGAATTTGTGATTTGCCTCACGTTACATAGTTCCTAAGTGTCCGAGGCAGAATTTGAACCCTGCCTTCCTTACTTCAAGTCCAGCACCCTATCCAAGACACCACAGATAGAAGCTGCTTGATAGATGTGAAAAGATATTTGCTTTGCATCGATTCTTTTATTTAATCAGTCTAGTGATATAGACAGAGGAATTTCTGACTTTCATTCCTACCGGCTACAGAAATGTGAGCAGACCACTTCAACTCTCAGTGCCCGGCAACTCTCTAAGGGTGTAAATTGCAGAACTTTTCCCGAAATTGTCAGTGAAGGAAGTTCCTCAAACCTATGAAATCTCAGGTGAATCAGAAGCCTGTTGGTTAGTGTTTAACAGCGTGTGTGTGTGTGTGTGTGTGTGTGTGTGTGTGTGTGTAGTGTAGTGCACGCATTATGCACTTTTAACTTAAATTGGCATTGTTAATATTTCCTCCATCACTTTCTTAAGTTCCAGACAATCAATAAAACAAATCAAGTCCCTGATTTGGGTCATTTGCCGATTTCCAAGTTATAAATGCTTATAGTGAAAACTTAACAGCCGGCTCTGCAGATAAGGAGCTCGCTTCTGCACATCCCTGGCTGTGTCTACCTAATTAAAAACAAAAATGACCTTCACTTTTTTATGTCACCTGATACCTCCTCTCCAATGTAATGTAACACCATTCCCAAACTATTATAAACTAAGGGGGTTGACTTTTCTAATCGCAAAGTGAGGATAAGGCGCAGGTGAGACTGGAGGACACGATACAGATACTATTTTTGTTTATTACACAGAAGGGAAACAGAAAACAGCGGAAAGCATCTAGCCTCAGGAAGCACCAAGCAGGGAAGACTGTTAGATGTCTATCATATGGACTACAATTCCCAGAAGGCAACGCGACGCATTTTCTTTGCAGTCCCAACCCTCGGGAGCTGAAAATCCTAAGGAGCCCCGCCCATCGCCCCCTCTTGATTGGCCAGTTACGTTCTTTTGACTTAAGGGCGCTCTGGAGGGGTGGGGAAAGTGGAGTGGCACCTGTAAGTTTCCCGCCACGGGAGACGTATCGGAACGCCGAGGGGAGGAAGAAGCTTCCCACTGGGCATACGCTTTTCCGGCCTTGTAAGTCGCAGCCAATCAGAATCCAAATGTGCTTCCGCTGCCGCTTTGGCTGTAACTTTTGGTGGCGGGAAAAGTGAAGTCGTTTTCGCGCCAGGGGAGGAGTGAGCGCTGGGGGAAGTGGAGAAACCGACTCCATTCTGCCGCTTGGAAGCATGGCAGCCACCACTGTGATAGACGACGTTGAGCTGCGGGAGGCTCAGAGAGATTACCTGGACTTCCTGGACGATGAGGTGAGGGTACTAGCCCCCTCCTCCTAGGGCTCCAGATGGGGAGTTCAGGGGAAGCCATGTGGCCAGTTGGCTCCGGCAGAGGTGTTTGCTTGGAAGGGAAGGGGGACTTGATCTCTGCGAGCTCTGTCGGAGGAAAAGGAGGGTCCTTTTGTCTTGACTCTTGGCCGGCTTGGTTTATGGCAGCGGGGTCTGGTGAGGGAGCCCAGACTGGTGGGAGTGGGTGGATAGGGCTTGTTGGAGTTCCCCCGGTGGTGGAGGTTTCACCCGGAGGCTTTCATGCACTCGTTTAGGACCCAGCCCTAGACCGTGTGACTCTTTAAAAAGTTGCTGATCGAATTAGTATGGGTAAGAGCTGAAGCCTGGAACTTTGATTGGATTAGGGGTGCCAAGATACTTTAGTCTTTGTTTTCTTGGTGGTGGGGGGCAAAGGGGACGAGGCAGGGCCAACTTTGAAAGAGTTTTGTGTCTGCAGTTTTTTTTTTGTAGCAAAAGCAGTCTCTTTAGCCTTTATCTTAGTATCTAGCACCAGACACGTAATAGATGCTTAGTTAACTTGTATCGAATTGAATGGTTGAGTTAAACCGGCGAAAAATTTCCCAACTGGCATTTTTGGGCATAGCCAGCTGTGAATATCACCATCTAAAGAAAGGGAGTGTAGACCTCTAAGATGCTGGTATTTGCAAGGTTGTTGGGTTTTTTGCAGGGAGGGAGGGTGGAGGGGAAGATGCTTGTCATTTCCTGACCCCCTTTTCTTTACTTAATCCAGATAAATAAAAGCAGAATGTTTATTTGTCAGGTGAATTGGTTTGCCATGTCATCTTGGCTCCAGCACTTAGCTCAGTGCCTGGCACATAGTAGATGCTTAATAAATGCTAGTTGACTAAAACTGTCTTTCTGTGAGTAACTGTAAATACATACTGCCTTTCTAGATTGCTAAGGTGGACTTTTGTGAAAGATCCCTAGGGGGATTGCCTGATCCTAATACCTAAACTAGGGGAGGATAAAGTAAGACCAACATCACTAATAAGTATTAATAATTATTAAAAATTTTTTAAGCAAAAACCATGGCAATATATAAAAAAAATTTACTCTGATCAAGTTAGTTTTATGCTATAGATACAAGGATGGTACGAGTTAGAAAAGCAATTAACAGTCATTCATATTAAAAACAAAACTACTGTAAACTATAGGATTGTATGAACAGATACAGGAAAAGCCTTTGACAAAATGTACCGTTTATTTATGCTAAAAATTCTACACATCATAGACCTAGAAGGGCCATTTTTAATGATGAAAATATGTATAAAACCATTTGCAATGGGAAAACACCAGAAACTTTATCAGTAAATAAAGGAGTAATTTTTTCATTATTCCATGTTACATTCGAAGAGTACAATAAAAATGATATTACCTCAATTAATTTGCAAACTTAAGATATGCCAAACCAACTACCAAGGGGATACTTAACAGAGGTAGGCAAAATAATAATAAAAATCATTTGGAGGAACAAAAGATTTAGAATCTCAAGGAAAATAATGAAAAAAAAGTAAGAATGAAGGGTAATACTTCTAGACCTCTGGTTTTACTATAAAGCAGTCATCATTGAAACTATTTGGTATTGGTTAAAAAAATTTTTTAAAGTAGATTAATAGAACAAAATGGATAAAGAAGAATCAGAAACAGTTGAACTTAACTCAGTGATCTATATGTCTGAAGAGATAAATTACTTGGCAAAGAATTCCATATTTGACAGAATTGTTGGGAAAACTGGAAAGCAGATTGGCAGAAATTAAATCTAGATCAATAAGGCAAAAATGAATATGCAACTTGAACCTTTCACTGCTATGACTAAGATGAGTGGATTGTTTTTTTCCCCCCAGCAAACATGGAAGGAGTATACAGGTGATCATACAACATAAAATAGGCAAGACCTTTTGCACAAAGAAAATCAATGCAACTTGGATAAAAAGGGAAACAGTGGTTTGGGGGGAAAGCCTTTGAATCACCTATAAGGGTCCTGGATTTACAAAGAACCTGGATATATGTAGATAAGACCAAGAGTCATTTACCATTGGATATGAAAAAAGAATATGAACAAACAGTTCTTAAAAGAATTACAAGCTATTAATGAGCCTGTGAAAGATTATTTCAAATCATTAATAACAAGAGAGATGAAAGTAAAAGCAACTCAAGTTTCACCTCACGCAGGAAACTGGCAAAGATGACAGAAGATGCAAATAGTCCATGGTCAAAGGGCTGTGGAAAACTGGGCACATTAATACATTTTTTATGGAACTATATGTTGGTCAAACTGCTGAGGAAGGTAATTTGGAATTAATCCAAAGAAAATGACTGAAATGTTCTTACCCTTTGAGATCCTCCTGCTGGGTACATACCCTGAGGAGGTCAATGATAGAAAAGCACCTATACCAAAAACACAGATCTGGAAACAAAGTAGATAACCATCCAGTAAGGATTGGTTAAACAAGTTGTAATAAAATATTATGGTGGTGTAAGAAATGTGATATGAAGAATGGGAAGGTTAGGGTTCCAGAGTGAAATAAAGCAGAACCAGGAAAACAACATCTTTATCTACATCTATACACACAAATAGTGTAAATGGGAAGAAAGATAATTAGAAAAAGTAAACTGAATGCTATATAACAATGCTTAAAGTTGGTCCTAGAGTGGAGATTTAAAAAATTATTACCTCCCTTCTTCATAGAGATGGGGAACTATGGGTGTGGACCAGACTTAGTTGATGTGTGGGTCATTTTTGTTAAACTTTATCTTTTTTTTTAAAGTATGTTTTTATTTATTTTGTTAGATATTTCCCAACTACATATGAAAACATTTTTAACATTCATTTTTTAAAATTTTGAGTTCCAAATTTTCTCCCTCCCTTCCCTCTCCCCCAGGCAAGCAATATATTGATTATACATATAAAGTAATGTAAAAAAAGTAATGTAAAAAATACCATGTTGCAAAAGAAAGTACAAAAATCCTTAAGAAAAATAGAGTAAGCTGAAAAAAATATGTTTCAGTTTGTACCCAGAGCTCATCAATTTTCTCTGGAGGTGGATAGCATTTTTCATCTTGGGTCCTTTGAAATTTTTTGGGTCATTGTCTTGATCAGAGAAGCTAAGTCTTTCACAGTTGATCATCGTTGATATATTGCTGTCTTTTTTATTCTTTATTATAAAGGAAAGGTTTCAGATTGGAAAGGAGGAAGATAAATCTTAAAAATGTGTCATGGGGACATTTTTTCCCTCAGAGATCTTGTTGTTAAACCTTTACTTGGGTTATTAAAACCAAGCAATGCATCAAACTGAATCTGACAGTATATGTAATGTTCTCTGCATTTAGTCACCCACCTCTCCAGTAAAGGGAGAGAGGAGTCGTTTTCTGTTGTGTTCAAATTTAAAATCACTTTGAAACATAAACCATTTGGCTAGGCTAATTAATGGGTTCTGGATATTTTGTAGGAAGACCAGGGAATTTATCAGAGTAAAGTTCGAGAGCTGATTAGTGATAACCAGCATCGTCTGATTGTCAATGTGAACGATCTACGTCGGAAGAATGAGAAAAGAGCCATCCGGTAAGTGCTGGGGTTACTGCGGGGGGAAATGAGTATAAATGAAAACCTTCCAGTTCCCCTTTCTGTTCACTAGGCCAGAGTCATAATTTGCCACACAGAGAGCTAGATTGATACCTAAGTGTAGGCAGCACATGTATGTTGGCCCTGGAGTCAGAGGACAAGAGTTTAAATCCATCCCTGCAATTTACCACCTCTGTGATTTTGGGTGACTCATCATCTCCCTTGACCTCAGTGCGCTCATCTTTTAAATGAAATGGTTGGACCAGCTGACCTGTGAGGTGCCTTCTAGCTGTGGATCTACGATCCTGTGAACCTATGGCTTTACAATATGCTTGGACTTTCTGATTTTCCATTGCCTGATACCTTGATTCCCCTCCCCGCCCCACCTTGATTCCAAGAGTAGATTTTTGGTTTTCTAGAGGCAATAAGTCATTTGCCAGTCAGTGGGCTTCTTTCTAGTGTGGTTGTGGTTCACATTTCCTGCCTTTCTTATAGAAATTAAATTCAAAGTTTTCTTTCATCAGTTCTCCTCACTAGCCGTGAAATATAAACTCCTTCCCCCCCCCAAAATGTAAAGGCTTTAATTATTAGAAATAATTAGCTATGTAAATAAGCATTTGTATCGGTTTAATATTTCAGATAAGCACAAAGATGGGCTGAAACATATACCCTGGTTTGTAGGCTTTATGTTGTTATATGAGGCCACACATGATTTACATTGTTATCCTGGATGATTCCTCAGGATTTTTGAGTATATATTACGGCTTAGGTGATTAGTAAGTACTTGAGGCAGGGCCTGGAGCAGTTCTGGTTCAACAAAAGGCTCGACTGATAACTTGTCCCTGTAGGGTGCTGGATACATCCTCAGCTTCTTTACAGTGAACCTCATGGCCTGTCTTGGTAATCTGACAGGGCCTCAGTTTTTATAGTATGAGGTGACATCCTTAGCTGACAAGGTGTGTGTGGAAGGGGAGCCTTGGAACCCTTGAGAAGGTCTGCAACAGCTGAGGTGGAGAGGGCATAACCACAGAATGTCTGACTTGCTGCAGTGAGGGCCCCCGCCACTGGCCGCCTCACAAACCACAGCAAAGTTCTGCCCAGAAATGAAATATAAACTTCTTGAAGGAAGGAACTGTTTCCTTCTTCTGTTCTGTTCTGTTCTGTTCTGTTCTGTTCTGTTCTGTTCTCTTCTCTTTCTCTTCTCTTCTCTTCTCTTCTCTTCTCTTCTCTTCTCTCCTTTTCTCTTTTCTTCTCATCTTTTCTCATCTTTTCTCTTTCTTCTCTCCTCTTCCCCTTCCCATGTCTTCAACACCTTACTCAGTGCCTGATATACAACAGGTGCTTAATAAATAAGTAAGTAAATAAATCCGTTGGGTTGAAAGGGGTTGAAGTTCTTCTGGCTTTCAGTAGATATGTTAAGAAGTTTTTAGAAATAAGTCTTTAGCAGGCATGGGGTACCTGGAAAACCTTCGAGTACTGAAGTTCAGAGGAGGCCTCCTCCATTCAAGAAACTTTCTTGACCTGACTATTTAGTTGGTGAGATGAATGGGAGGATGTCCTTGAGAGGCAGCAGAATGGATGGATGGATATGAAGTGTTGCCTTTGGAGTCAGAAAGACCTGGGTTCAAATCCCACCTCAGACACTTAATAGCTGTATGGCCCTGGATGAGTGACCTGACCTCTCTGGGCCTCGGTTTGCTTACTCATAAAATAAAGGGTTTAGACTGGATGATCTCTGAAGTTCCTTTTAGCTATAAATCTGTGATCTTGTTTTGATCATTTTGTTTTGCATTTGTATCAGTATTTTACCAGGGATTTGGATCTGTATTTTACTAGAGAGATTGTTTCTCTCTTTCCCAGTTAATTTTTTTTCTTCTTGTCCCATCTGCAGGCTCCTTAACAATGCCTTTGAGGAGCTCCTGGCCTTCCAGCGTGCCCTGAAGGACTTTGTGGCCTCCATTGATGCCACCTATGCTAAGCAGTATGAGGAATTCTACATCGGTTTGGAGGGCAGCTTTGGTTCCAAGCACGTTTCTCCTCGCACCCTCACCTCCTGCTTCCTCAGTTGCGTCGTCTGCGTGGAAGGCATCGTCACCAAATGTGAGGGGGCCAAACAGCATCACCAGAATAGAGGGGGCTTCCCGTGGGCACTCTAGGAATAGTTGGAGGGCTATGCAGAGCGAGGAAGGCATAGCTAGACTGCTTGAGGATGCGGAATTTTGAGGACTTGGAACAGGGCAGTGAAAATGATTGGGAGAAACCCTAGGCTAAACAGTAGGGTAAGAGGCCTCATTTTAAAAACTGTTCTTTTTCCTATGTAAAGGCAGTATAGCAGAGTGGATAGAAGGGCCATCTCTGGAGTCAGGGAAGATGTGGGTTCAAGTCCTGCCACTGACTCATTGTGTGACAAGTCACTGAATCTATCGGTGACATAGGCAGCTTTGTTAAGATTTCCACTTACGCAGGAATTGGTTGAACTGCGTAAGTGGAGGGAATGTCCACACTGGGAATTCTGTACACTGGTGAAGTCACAGGTCAAGACCAAAACAAAATTTTTTTCTTTGAAAATGATGTTAGTGATCTGATCATCTGTAGGCCATGTATTGTGCATTACAGGGAAGCTAGGTGGTACAGTAGAAAAAGTGCCAGACTTGGAGTCAGGAAGACCTGAGTTCAAATCTTACCTCAGACACTTACTAGCTGTGTGACTGTGGCAAGTCTGTTTACCTCAGTTTCCTCATCTGTAAAATTAGGATAATAATAGTACTTACCTTCCACGGTTGTTGTGCGGATCCAATGAGGTATTAATAATGATAATTGTTAGGTGCTTAGCACAGTGCTTGGCATTCACTAAGCACTGTGTAAATGTTGTTATTACTACTGTTTTTCTGGTAGCATTGATGATTTTGCACTGAGCTCCCTCTTATGAAGTAGCTAGGTGGTTTGGTGGACCTGGATTCAAATCCAGCCTCTGATATTTCCTGCCTGTATAATTTTGGACAAATGAGTTAGCTTCTCTGGATTAGGAGTCAGGAAGAGCTGAATTCAAATCCTGCCTCAGACACTTAATAGCTCTGTGACCCTGAGCAAGTCACTTATCTTCTTGCAACTTCACTTTCTTCATCTGGAAAACAAGAATAGTAATAGCACCTACCTTGCAGGGGTATTGTGAGGATCAAATGTTAATATATGTAAACTGCTTTGCAAACCTTATTTTGCAGATGTTAGTTGCTATTATTGCTATTTCAATCAGTAAACATTTATTAAGTGCTTACTATGTGCCAAGCACTGTGCTAAGTGCTGACAGTACAAAAGGAAGCAAAAGACAGTTCCTGCCCTCAAGGAGCTTACCATCTAATGGGAGAGGGAACATGCAAATAAGTATATTCCAAGTAAGCTATGTATAGGATGAATAAGAAATAATTAACAGAGAGCAGGCTTTGGAGGTAAGAGAGGTTGGGGAATTCATAATCCTTGTGACCATGTTTTTTTTCTTTCTTTTTTTTTGGCAAGGCCATTGGGGTTAAGTGACTTGCCTAGGGTCACACAGCTGGTAAGTGTCAAGTGGTCTGAGACCACATTTGAACTCAGGTCCTCCTGACTCCAGGGTCGGCGCTCTATTCACTGTGCCATCTAGCTGCCCCATGTGATGATATTCTTGAACCAGACAGTAGTTTCCTTACTGTATCAGACATTCAGGAAACTATCAGGGGACTTTACCTGTGTGAAAGCCATCATCCATTGATAGGATTTAGGGAATGTGAAGTTGGTATGAGTTGGCTAACTTGTATTTAGATGACTATTTAGAGTGAGATCCACCACCTTTGGTATTTTCCCTTATCTCTTCAGGAGCTGGTTCATGGGGTAGGGGGTGAAGAAGAAGAAGAAATGATGAGGTTGTGTTGGGAAGAGGGAGTCACACTACAAGAAAAGGAGATGAATTTCCCTGCCATATCATCTAATGTACCAGAGGGCGGAGGCTGCCTGATCTTTACATGGCTTCTCTCCTTTCAGGCTCCCTGATTCGTCCCAAGGTTGTCCGTAGCGTCCACTATTGTCCAGCCACCAAGAAGACCCTAGAGAGAAACTATACTGATCTCACCACGCTGGTGCCCTTTCCTTCCAGCTCCGTCTACCCCACCAAGGTAAGGGGACTTGAGTTGATCGTCTCTTGTGGGGAGTGGAGGTCAGAGATGTTTCTTCTCCTCCAGTGTTAGGTGGTATCAGAGAGGCCCACAGAGAAAACGAGCCTAGGAATCAGGAAGATCTGGGTTCATGTCCCTTTTCTGAGCACATACTGGCTGGGTGACCCTGGGCAAGTTAATTAGCTTCTCTGCATCCTCAGACAATTCTTGAAGGTGATAAATGGTAAATTCTAGAACAGGTGGTGATGTGCATTAGTCCAGAGCTTTCTCAGTGATGGTTTCTTTTCCTCATGGAATTATAGGGCTGATAAGAGAGGGAGGGAGGGAGAGAGAGAGACAGAGAGAGACAGAGAGAGAGACAGAGAGAGAGAGAGAGAGTTCTTAGAGGAAGAGAGAAAGAAAAAAGAGAAAGGAGAGAAAGAAAGGAGAGAATAAAAAGAGAGAGATTTGAGGTTTTATCTCTAGAAATTGACTGTGTGACCACAAGGAGTTAGTCCAGAGGAAAATGGACTGCTGGACATACCTTGAGCCTTTAACCTGAATGGTTTTTACACAGTACTTCTCATCAAACAGGAAATTTTTTCCTGTTTTCTGGTTTAGTGAGCACTGAGTTAGTTACTGAGTTCCATTACTTCTGATTCTCCCTCATCTTAATTGATCTTCTGTTTTTTAATCAGTACCAGATGATTTTGATGGTGGCTGCTTTATAATATAGCTTGAGTTCTTCATTTCTACTTTTTTTCATTATTTCCCTTAGCATTCTAGATCTTTCTTACCTCCAGATGAATTTTGTTGTTATTTTATCAAGTTCTATGAAGTAGCTCTTCCTTTGATAGTTGGATATAATGTTACAGTGAGGAAGGAAATATGCAATTTTTTTTGGTTTTTATTTTTATTATTTAAAATTTTTTAATCTTTTATTTTTTCTAATTACACGTAAAAACAATTTTTGACATTCATTTTTAAAAAAATGTTGAATTCCAAATTCCTTCCCACCCTACGTCACCTCTCGTTGAGAAGGCAAGCAATTTGATGTGGCTTATACATGCGTAGTCATATAAAACATTTCTGTATTAGTCATGTTGTGAAAGGAAATATAGACTCTTGCACCCCCCTCTCAAAAAAAAACCCCACAAAGAAAAATAAAGTTTAAAAAAAAGCATGTTTTGATCTGTACTTGGACTCCATAGGTTCTTTTTCTGGATACCATTTTTCTTCATGAGTCCTTCAGAATTGTCTTAGATCCTTGTATTGCTGAAAATAGCTAAGCCATTCACAGTCGATCAGTGTACATTATGGTCCTTACTGCATGCGATATTTTCTTGGTTCTGCTCACTTCAGTTTGCATCCGTTCGTGTAAATCTTGCCAGTTTCTTTAGAAAGCATCTTGGTTGTCATTTCGTATAGCACAGTAGTGGAATAAGCATTTATTAAGAACCCTTTATGTGCCGGGCACGATGCTAAGCAGTTAACAAATATTATCTCTTTTGTTCCTCACCACAGCCCTTGGAGGTAGGTGCTGTTGTTATCCCCATTTTTCGGATGAGGAAACTGAGGCAACCAGAGGTTAAATGGTTTGTCCAAGGTCAAGTATGTGAGGCTGGATGTGAATTCAGGTCTTCCCCACTTTAGGCCCAAGGTTCATTGTACCACCTAGCTGCCTCTGTTATAGCTATAAATTTATTTTGGTGGTATTGTTATTTTTATTATAATGGTTTGGCCCAACCATTAGCACTGAATGTTCCTTCATCTACTTAATTTGTTCTTTATTTCTTGAAGGAACACTTTAATTAGTTGAATGTAAGGGTATAATTGAATATAAGGATTTAATGTTCTTTGGTAGATTGACTCCCAAATATTTTATTCATCTTGTAGTTATTTTGATTGGAATTTCCCTTTCTGTTATCACCTCTTGGAAATGCTATTGCTGTTTGTGGATTTATTTTGTAGCCAGCAACTTTACTGAAGCTATTTAGTTGTCTCAACTAGTAGCATTGGTATTCTACTTCTGTCAGGCTGCTGGTACTTCCTTATATTAGTTGTACAATCAATAAACACGTGGGTAGGAGTGAAAAATGCTAGAATTTTTTTTTTTTTTGCAGTGCATGGGGGGCAGTTATGATGCCTGGATGATTTACAAACTTTATTCCATAGGGGCAGATACACCTAGAATAACTGGGGGCATGGCTAAGTAATTGTGTCTTTTCCCTCTGTTTTCTAGGATGAAGAGAATAATCCTCTGGAGACAGAGTATGGTCTTTCAGTGTATAAAGACCACCAGACCATCACTATCCAGGAAATGCCTGAGAAGGCCCCCGCTGGCCAGCTGCCCCGCTCTGTGGATGTTATCCTGGATGATGACCTAGTAGATAAAGTGAAGCCAGGTGACAGGATTCAGGTGGTGGGGACTTACCGTTGCCTCCCAGGAAAGAAAGGAGGATATACTTCAGGCACATTCAGGTAGAGCAACCTTGAAGATTCTCAAAGTATTTGGGCGTATTGGGGTTAGTGGCCTTCTGCTTTTTGTAATCCTTCTTCCAAATCCTGTGATAATATCTCATAGGTAGAACACTGGGTAAATTGGATTGTCAGGAGACCTGGCTTTTTCTCAGCTCTTGATTCCATCTCTTTCTTGTAGGAAGGACCTCCTAAGCGTAAAGAACAGGTTCTCCCCACCAGTCAGAGAGAAAACCAAGCCTTTAGCCATTGATTGGTGCCCATTCATCCTAAGGATGGACCAACTCAAGTCACAGAGTGAAGTCCTTCCAATCAATCAGTCAATCAATAAACATTTATCAAGTGCCTTCTATGTGCCAGGGGATACAAAAAGAATCAAAAGACAGTCCCTGCCCTCAAGGTGTTTTTAACCTAATGGGGGAAACAACATGCAAATGATAGATATAAATATATACAGCATATATAGGAAGTAATTAATAGGGGGAAGGCACTGCAATTAAGAGGGGTTGTAAAGTGGTTTACCTACTTCCTGGTGTTTCCTCCATCTAGACTAAAGCCTGCTTTATCAAAGGAGATATATATGTAAAGTGTTTTGTAAAACTTTAAAGCCCTATATGAACTTTCATTACTATTATTAATCATCAGCAAAAGGAAAGATGGATTCTGTGACATGCACGTAGGGGTAGTTAGCCTGTGGGAGGCAGAAATTGGTAGAGAATAATATCTGAATCCTAAAATCAGAGGACCAGTGAGTTAGAGTTGGAAGGGACGTTAGAGGCCATTGAGTGCAGCCTCCTCATTTTCCAAGACTCAGAGGGGTCAAATAATTTGCCCAGAACCACGTAGCTCACATCTGACTGAGGCAGGATTTGAACTTAGGTCTTACTGGCTCCAAGTTCAGCGTGGAATCCGGAATGTCATGGTACTTGAAATCAGGATGGTCCCAGGCAGTTTGCTAGGTCAAGGCATGAAGATGCCATCTTCTCCTGAGGAATATTGCTGATTGAACTGACTGGCCAGCAGATATGAGCGGAAGATGCTGCTGAGTGCTCACTATTGATAATTGTTGTCTTTCTTCCAATCATTCTCTTCTCCCTAGGACTATTCTGATTGCCTGCCATGTGAAACTTATGAGCAAGGAGGTTCAGCCTATGTTTTCTGCTGAAGATGTGGCCAAGATCAAGAAGTTCAGCAAATCGCACTCCAAGGTAGGAAAGAGCTTTGGGATAGACTCCCACCTTAAGTGTTTTTGGAGGGAAAAAGTGTTTTTGGAGAGGATTTTGGGTAGGAAAAAAGTCATAGGAAAGGCTTTTGGGATGGGAGCTTTCCTTGGGAGTTGGGGGGGGGACCAGCTCCATTTATTTCTCTGGGTCCTTTGACTTGGTTCTAATATTTTCCACTGAGTAGAAGACTTTCCACTGCTTTTATGGAAATAGTTGCTGTCTGTTGGATTTGGAGGAGGCCAGAAGAATGTAGGCTAGGTAGGTGATAGTTAAAGAAATTCTGAGGAAGTCTGAAAGAGGTATAAAAGAGTTTCCTTTGGGTATAATTTTTTAAAAAATGGCAGGTGAGTAGAAGTTCTTACTCAGTTGCAGCCTTACTATTTTTTAAAAAACATTCTTAAAATTGTAAATCATTTTTCATTAAATACAAATAAGCAGACACTATGGAATTGAGAATAGGAAATACATTTTGATTAAAAATATTAACTTTTTAATAATATTAACTTTAAAAATTTTTATTTTAATTTAATTTTATTTTTTTGGATCAGACCAAAAGTTATTTTATTGGTGTGGGGAGTTCATGGTGAGGAACTTCCTCTACAGTATCTAAAACAACTTGGTGTGTAGAGTTAGATTTCCCCCTCTCTATGTGGCTCTGGGCAAAGTCACTTAGCCTATATAACCTGTATAATTCAGTTTCTTCTTTTGTCAGATGGGAATGATAAATAGCACCTTCCTCATTGGCTTGTTTTGAGAATCAAATGAAATAACATTTATAGTTCTTGCATACTTAAAGTGCTATGTAAATGCTAACATTTTGTATTATGTTATTTACTAGATAGGTCTCCACCTTCTTTGCAGTTGTCTTAGAGAATTGACTTGGGACTCTGAGAAGGTATTTAACTTGCCCAGAGTCATACTGTTAATTTGTGTCAGTCAGAATTTGAATCCAGGTCTTCTAGGCTCTTGAGGCCAGGTCTATTTAACTATGACAATTGTGCCTTTCCCTTCAAAATAACACTAACAATTTATTTGATCTTTTCCCTTTAGCAATTTCTTTTTTCCATTCATTTTGATGCCCTTTAATTACAGTTCCTAAGTATAGGTTATTTCATACTCCTTGCTTTATTTATATCACCTCCTATGAGTCTATCTATATTCCTTTGTATTTTACCATTTTTGTGGTTCAGTAGCATTCCATTGCATCACTGATTAAATCAGTTATTCTCCAGTCATTGGAATAATAGCTTGGCTTTTTTTTTTTGGCCATTACAAATGAAGTGGGTTTGAATGCTTTTGTACAAAATAAGTCCTTTTTAAATTTGATTAAAATCCTTGGCATCTAGTTCCAGCAGTGTGGCATTCTGGGGTCTAAATGTATGGTCAGTTTAGTAATTCTCATTGCATTATGCTAGATTGCTTTCCAAAAAGCTTGTGTCAATTTATAGTCCTAATGACAATGTGAAAGTGCTTGTTTCTCTGAGGGGCTGCCAATATTAACATTTTATCATTTTCAGCTGATTTTGCCAGTTTGTGCTAGATATAATGTGGTATCCAAGTTATTGTAATTACATTTGTGATTCTTAGAGAATTTGAGTAACTTTTTCCATGGTTATTAGCAATTTTGCTTTCCTTATTGAATTATTACGTAATTATATTATATAATTGAATTATTCATACCTTTTGACCGTTTTGCTGGATCTTAGATTTAGATCTAGATGAGACCTTAAAAGTCATTGAGTCCAGCCTTCTCATTTTACAAATGAGGAAACAGGCCTTAGAGAGGTGAAATCACATAGCTAGTATTTGAGGCATTCTAATGGGGAATGGATATTATTCTCATAGATTAGATTGTGAATGTCAGATGTTTGTTGTAAATGTTCTTCCCCTTCCCCCATCTGTTTTTCCTTATTTTGGAAACATCACTTATGTATTGGACGTAATTCTTTTATTTTGATGTACTCAACTCCATCAATTTTGTTTCAGTTAGCCAATCAACGAAAATTTATGAATCACCTAATATGTACCAGGCACTAACTATTCTGGGCACGAGGGATAAAAGTTCAAAGAATGAAACATTCCTTCCTAATTAGGAGCTTGTCCATTAAGAAAATATTTTTCCCTCACCAGATTTGGGAGAGACATACTATTCTTTTTTCTTCCAAATTTGTAGATCATGAATCAGATTGATTTTTATCATAATAGATGGTATATTGCGTGTCTCTATTCTCTCTCTTTCTCTCTCTCTCTTTTTTTTGGCCATTTTGCTTTCCAGTTTTATCAACAGTTTTAATGGAATAATGATTCCTTTCCCTAATGTTTTTAGTCTTAGGTTTATCAATCCCAAGTTCTTTGTTTACACTAATTTCTAGATTCTCTATTCTATTACAATGATCTGGGTTTTTTTTTAATTTTGGTCTAGTAAGACAGTTTTTATACTATATTTTGAACTCTGCTAGGAGTGAAGCCCTCTTCAATTAAAAAAAAAATCCTGTTTAAAAATAATTTAAAGCTTAGGCATTTAATGCAATGGTACATTAAGAAAAGTAGCCGTATAGCATTTGCCCTATAAATCTGGACTGTACTTTCATAAATGCACAGATCAGACATGGAACATGTGTGGCCAGATCTCACAAAGTTGAAAGGAGAGGTCAGCTGCTTTTCTGATGTTGCCTTTGTACTATTGTCACCAGTCTCTGCAGGATATGACATTTCCGTAGTCACTAACAGTTGTTGCTTCTTCCTTATAAGAAGAGTGGACACTGCCATGTTCCCTTAATTCAAAGGGAGACATTTTGATAGTAGCATCTTTTCCCTTGACCAACAAAATGCCTTCTTTTCAGAATCTTTGTCTTTGTGTTAAGCTTCTCGTATAGAGAAAGAAATAAAAGTATTAATTATCTGTTGTTCTTTTTTACATTAATTTTATGATGTCCTTATTGAGTCTTACAAAGTAGCCCATTGATATTTTGATAAGTATTGGTTCGTTACTATTTAAAATCTCCTGTTTAATAATATAACTTTGTTTTTGGCCAACATTTTTGTTTGTCCTTTCATTTTAAGGCAGAAAGGATGAGTTTCCCCTCCTATATATGCTGCTTTCCTCTCTAAAAGTCAATTTCAATGACTTTTAATGCCATTGTGTTGGAGAATGACATGATTTCTGTAGTGAGTTTTTTCATGACCTGGGATAAATAGCTAAAGGAGGTTATGGAAGATCTTTAGTGGGATTAGTTGGGATTTTGCCTGAGGTGGGGAAATATATGAAATTAGTTAGCCTCTCGAAGTCCTTGTAATTTCTAGACATCTTTTAAAACTATTTAAAGTTACTCTTGTAAATAACATGTTTTCCTTGAATTTCTGTGAACTTTTTGGAGGTTAGAGCACGGGGAGGTTAGTTGGTCTTTTGCCATATATTCTGATCTGTGCATTTAATGTTAGAACAGAATACTGTGAGGTCAAGAACCATTTCTTAATCTCTATTTTTCTTTAAGCATATAACTCAATACCAAGGAACTAAAAGATAACCAATTTATTAAGTATCTACTTTGTGGTAGGTGCTGGTAATACAAAGATAAAAATGACAAAGTCCCTGCCCTCAAGGAGCTTGCATTCTATTGGTAATTATTTTTTCCCCCCTATTCCATATGTCTCTCCCCTAGGATATCTTTGATCAGTTGTCTAGGTCATTGGCTCCCAGCATCCATGGACATGAATACATCAAGAAAGCAATCCTGTGCATGCTCCTTGGAGGAGTGGAGAAGGTCCTAGAGAATGGGAGTCGCATCCGTGGGGACATCAACGTTCTTCTGATAGGTAAAGAATCATCTTACAGTAGCAATTGTTTATGCACAGTGTGCTTGGTTCCCAGAGTAGGGAACCCTTGCAATTTGTAGATTCATGATAGATGATGTTCTACACAAAGTTAGACTTGTTTTTCCCCACTCCAAGCGATGGTGCTTTACTGCTGTTCTCTTATCGGTGGGCACTCTTGTTATTCTGAGGTTTTTTAAGAACATGGGATATAGCTCTGGAAGGGAACTTAGAGATCTATTCCAGTCCTGTCATTTTATAGGTGAGGAAACTTGAGGCTCTAGAGGGCTGGAGTATCAAGTTCAAAGTCAAAGAGGCAGTAGTAGTGGTAGTGGTATTGGTAGTAGTAGTAGTAGTAGCGGTAGTAGTAATAAAATTAGCATTTATATAGTGCTTTAAAGTTTGCAGAGCTCTTTACAAATATTTTCTCATTTAATTCTTACATCAACTTTGGGAGAGAATTGTTCTTATTATCTTCATTTTACAGATGAGGAAACTAAGGCCAGATTTGAATGCAGGGCTCCCTGATTCCAGTTTCAGTTCTTTATCCATTGTCCCATCTGGTTGCCTTTTACTTGGGTCGGAGCAGAAGTCAGATTCAAGTTCCAAATTCCAGTCCACTGCTATGTCAGGATTGCCGTCGTAGTATTTTAGAACTGATGCATCCCCTTCATCCTGGCCCCTAAAAGAAAAGTGAATGAGGATGGAGGAAAAATGTGAAAAGGCAAAAGGCAAAAACAGTTAAGTTTTGGCTGTAGCTATAGTATAGTGTATGTGGACTTCCCTTTTGGTGGGGATCTGTTGACTGTATTATCTGAATGGTAAGGTTCTCAAGAGGCAACATAGTATAAGGAGTAGAAGGCTGGATTAGAGAGTCGGAAAGATCCTTGTTCAAACTCCTTCTTTGATAGTTAAGTTATTTAAGTTAAGTAATTAATTAAATTACAAATTAAAAAAGTAATTAAGTAAATAAGTTATTTAACATCTCTTAGCTAGTTATTGCACAGACTTGTAGTGGAGCACAAATAAGATCATACAAATAGCGTTATACATAATATATAACATGATATAATATAACATATAATAGATAAATAAAAGGAGTGGGGGAGGGGAAAAGGGATCATGACAGAGTTGCCTCTGGGGCTACCCTGTTATCTGTGGGTATGTTGGTTTTTGGGCATCTGTAGAGTTGGGGTAACAATTTGGACTGGCTGAGCTCAGACGTCTGCTTGACTTAGCTCTCAACCCTTTCTTTGGGTTTCTTTACAGTTCCAAAACCTGGACTTTAATAAATAGGCCCGTCCTGGGCTATGAAACCAGAAAAAGCACTTGAAACAATGAGGCTGCTACGTGATAATCTTTGCCAGGGTGGATCCTTTTCAGGGCCAAGATTCTGTGATTTAATGAATGTAATAACTGAACAGTAAAATACAGAGTTCAGGGTGTACAATGTTAGTGACAAGAGAGTCCACCCTACTCATTTTATAGGTGAGAAAACTGAAGCACAGAGAGGTCAATGATGACTTGCCCAGGGTCCAGCTAGTAAGGTTCAGAGGTAGATTGTGAACCTGGGTCTTTATGGCTCCACGTTCAGTGCCCTATCCATGCCATGAAGATAGGAATTACAGGAATAAGGTTTATGCCAACCAACTGACTTCTACCTACTTATAGGACTGTAATGAAATCAGTGAAATTAGGTCTGCTTGGCCCTGAGAGAGGTCCTGCCAGCATATAAAGTGATAACATGCTGATGACTATTGGAGGGTCATTGGTATTTAGGGGGCTCTGACAATCCTAGGACAACAAGGATAAAGGGAAGAAAAGGGAAATCATTGATATATAGGGTTACATTTTTTAAAAAAATAGGTTTTTATTAATATCTTTTGTTTTTATATTACCTCTATTTCCTCCTCCCCCCTAGAGCTATCCTTTATAACAAAGATTTTTTTTTAAAGAGGAAAAGAAAAAAGTAAAGCAAAAACCAATGAACACATCCAAAAAAATCTTTCTTTATATGCAGTGTTCAACAACGGTCAATCTCCACCTTTGCAAAAGAGCAAGGGGAGGTGTCTTCTCATATCTCTTCTTTGGGGTCTGTCTTGTTCTTTACCATTCCATAACATTTAGTTTTGATTGTTTTGTAGTTATTTCAATTTACATCATTATAAAACTTTGCATCAGATCATATGAGTCTTTCTACGCTTCTCTCCATCCATCTATGAATATGTTTGTCGTTTCTTACAGCACAGTAACATTCCATTCGTGGATTATAATTTGTTTAGTCATTCCTTAATTGATGGGCATCTAGTTTGTTTCCTTTTCTTTGCTATGTGGGATTGTATTTTTCACAGTTCCGTAGAATTGACCACTTTCCCCATTTTTATTTCAGGAGACCCATCAGTGGCCAAATCTCAGCTTCTGCGTTATGTACTTTGCACAGCTCCCCGGGCAATCCCCACCACTGGCCGGGGTTCTTCTGGAGTTGGTCTGACAGCTGCTGTCACCACAGACCAAGAGACAGGTGAGGCCTGGACAGAGTGCTTAGCAGAGGTGCGAAAAACGGGGGGGCAAGGTAGGAGCTCAGGGCGGAGTGTGGGTTGACCTTACTTAGCAGAAAGTGTGGGAAGAATACTGAGAAGGTTGAATAGGCAGGTTTGGACCCAATTATGATAGACCAAGTCTTGTGATTGATCAGTTGCAATAAATGAGTTAGTTTTACCTTGAGAATGGAATATTTGCTGGCCCATGACTACTCTTGGAAAAAGATTTTTGGGTAGTGTTTAAAAGAAGCTTGTCAGACAAAGGATATGCTAAGAAAATCAAAGGAGAAGGCTATTGGAGGAACAGATTTAAAGACTAGCAAAGCAAGAAGAGCGCTGAGAGAAGAGGACAGATTGGGGATTTGGACCAGACCTGTGATTTCATTAATATACTGTACCAATGCAGATTGTTCTTTGCTTTGCAACCTATTGTTGCTCTGGGCAATGAGAAGTTAAATGAGATATAAGACTTTTATCAGCTACGTTTACTGGAAGATTTTGCTCTCAAATGGTTTCTTCTTTTCAGTTTTGAATACATAATTTTTTTTGTCCAGCAAAATAATTTTATTTTTGCGTGATCAGATCTTATTAATTTTGTCTCTGTGATTATCCATTTATTGGACAATTTTTCCTCTTCCATAATTAAGATACTTAACTGATAAGAAAAAGATAGTTTTTCCCAATTCCTTTCCCCTCTCCCTCCCACCCGCCAATTTTTTGTGATTTAAAAAATACCTTTAGATCACTGATAATGATGATTGGAAGAGTGAAAATTTCAGGAAGTCAACAGTGTGGAGCCAATGTTTTTTTAAAAAAAATTATCTGATATTTTATTTTTCCCGGATTAAAACAATTTTTAATGTTCATTTTTAAAATTTTGAGTTCCAAATTCACTCCCTCCCTCTCTACTCCTCATTGAGAAGGCAAGCAGCAATTTGATATAGGTTTTACATGTGTAGTCATGCAAAACATAACCAGAGTCTTTTCAAGTAGGACAAGAAGAGTAGTGTTAAGATAGCATGGAAGGGCTAGACTTTTGGTGGGAAACTCTTCAATTTTTGGAGAGGGATTCCCTGGACTCTACTCAGTTGCTCCCCAAACAGTTTGGTGTCAAGTGTTTAATAGATTCTAAGGAGGGCCAGATTATTTTTCCCCCCTTGTTTCCTGGTTGTTACTTTCCCCTAGTCCTTAAAGCTTGGTGGATACTTTTTTCTCCCCCTTTTCCCATTGTCCAGGGGAACGCCGCCTGGAAGCGGGGGCCATGGTGCTGGCTGACCGAGGGGTTGTGTGCATTGATGAGTTTGACAAGATGTCTGACATTGACCGTACAGCCATCCATGAGGTGATGGAGCAGGGCAGGGTCACAATCTCCAAGGCTGGCATCCACGCTCGCCTGAATGCCCGCTGCAGTGTGCTGGCAGCTGCTAACCCCGTCTATGGCAGGGTGAGTAGGATGGTCTTAGGGCATCTTAGGTTAGAAGGAAGGAAACAAACATTGATTAAGGGGCGTACCATGTGCCAGGCACTGTATTACTTGCTTTACAAATACTGTCTCATTTGGTGCTCACAATTACTCTGGGTGGTAGGTGGTATTATACTCATTTCACAGTTGAGGGTACTGAGGCAAATAAAGTTTAAGTGACTTGTCCCTGGATCACACAGCTAGTATGTGCCTGAGGCTGGATTTGAATTGACCCCTTCCTGATTCTAGGCCCACTGTGCCACCTTGCTACTTCAAAGTAGGGCAGGGAGTTTCTTAGTCATCAATCCAGCAAGTGTCTGTTAAGTGCCTGCTTTGTGCAGCTAGGCCATAGGGACATGAATAATAAATGAATAATCTTTCTTTCAAAGAGCTTTTTAACTAGCTTTGGATAGCTGTGTAGTATAGCTCATTGCTGGGGGTAGGGAGTGGGAGGCATTGGAGCAACATTTTGAGAAATGAGACCCGGGTCAATAAGCTCTAGTAAGCTCTTTATTTCCTTTCTATTATTTTTTGTTCACATCTTAAACAGAAATGTGTGTTTATCAGGAGAGGGGACAATGACAAGTTTTATATGTAAGGATGAGAAGGTAGCAGGGATTGAGACTTTCTGTGATTTAGTAATAATTCATTTTTTATCAGACCTGTGATTTTGTTGGTGTGGGAAACTTCAGGTATGGAAACTCTCTCCAACGATGTAGATCAGCCACTGCTGTGTGTTAGAGCATTGCCTCAAGTACTGAGAGATTAGGTGATTTGCCCAGGGTCACACAGCCAGTGTGTGTTAGAGTCAGGACTAGTATCTAAGTCTTAGTGACCCCAAACCAAGCTCTATCTATCCACTGTGCCACACAGTCTCGCAGCTTATCACACAGTAATCATAATGAGTAGTAATTATTTGCAAGACTGCCTTTACATAGTCTTCTTTCTGAAATCTGTAATAACCTGCCCCTCAACTAAGCAGGGTAGTATTTAGAGCTCTGAGGGAAATCTAAATTTAAATCCTGCCTCTTTGACTTACTAGCTGTTTGATGGTGGGCAAGTCACTTAACTTCTACCTGCCTCAGTTTCATTATCTGTAAGATGGGGATAATAATAACACCTCTCAGAGTTGTTGTGATGATCAAATGAGATAATATTTGTAAAGTGCTTTTCAAACCTTAGAGTGATATATAAATGTTAGCTATTATTGTTACTGTTATTAACCAATGTGATAGGATGGGTTGGGGGCCCTGAACCCAAGGAAATACTATCTGATTTCTAAGATCTCCCATTTTGATGTGTAACAATAAATAATGAGAGTTCACATTTATAAAGCTTTAGATGATTTACTACAGTTCTTCACATTAACCCTATGACATAGGTAGTAGAAATATCATTACCTCTATTTTATACAGAAGAAACCTGAGGCTTAGATGTTGAGGGACTTGCCCAAGCTCACATGGCTAGTATCAGAGTCAAGACTGGAATTCAGGTCTTTTTATTTGAGGACTAGTGTTATTTTCACTACTGGTGGGTGCCATTTTGGTGAGCCCTTCTTCAATCAATCAGTCAATCGATAAACATTTATTAAATGGCTGTTGTGTGCCAAGTGCTTTTTCTAAGTGCTAAGGATACACAAAGAAGCAAAGGACAGTTCCTGCCCTTAAGGAACTTATAATCTAATGGATTCTTGTTATCCCTCATATTAGTGCCTATAATACCTGTCTCACAGGGTTGTGATAATGAAACAATGAGATCATGTCTGTAAAGTCCTTTGTAAACCTTAAATGGCTATTTATCATCATCATCACCATCATTACCACTACCACCACCACCACTGCCACCTAGTAACATTAAATTTGGCCATTTTAATAAGTTTAGTTGAGATTTTACTCATTGATTTGTTATCCTATTATCATGAGGGACTCCAGAATTCCCAAGAGCTTCTGACTTCCAAGATGCTTAATCTGTCCCAGCTCCCAACTTTCTCCTGTATTGTTGACAAATGAATAGAAATTGAGACACAGATTCATTTCTCAGAGTCAATTCTGTCTTGGCAAAAACGCAGATGAAAGTAAAGCTTGGGAAAGGAGCCAGCCTCCAGGCCCTGCTTGGTGTGGCTATGCCGGTGATTCAGCCATGTTTAGCTGACAAGTTGGGGTGAACATTTCAGTAAGGTCACCATAGTTGTTTGTAGGTTATGTTTCCTGTAAGACTGTAAGCTTCTTGAAGGTAGGGGCTGTTTTTTTCTTTCTTTGTGCCAGAGCTTAGTACAGTGCCTAGCACATTTTGTTCAGTTGCCCAGTGACATCTGACTCTTTGTGACCCTGTGGACCATAGCATGCCAGTACTGTCCATGGGGTTTTCTTGGCAAAGATAATAGAATAGTTTGCCATTTCCTTCTTCTGTGGATTAAGGCAAATAGAGGTTAAATGATTCGACCCAGGATCACAAACCCATTAAATGTCTGAGGCTGGATTTGAACTTAGGTCTTCCTGACTCCAGGCCTACCACTCTATCTCACTGAACCACCTAGCTGCCTCCAGCCTAGCACATAGTAAGCACTTAATAAATGCCTGGAAAACTTCTCTCCCCTGTTTTTATCCTAAACCATCCTCCCATCCCCATACCCCTCATGTTCTCCTTATAAAGTGAGAATCATCAAGATAAACCCATTGTAGAAAAAATGAATGGAGGATGAAAAAAATGGATGAAAATCATTTAGTCAGCCCTTCTCATGTGCCAGAGGATATAAATACAAAAAACAAGATAGTCCCTGCCCTTAGGAAGCTCATATATCATATCATGTCATAACATATCCTACATCATTTCATATATATAATCACATTATATAATATTAGATAAGTGGCAAAGATATCTGAGCCTATAATATAAATATGATATTATATAATAGATATAATAGAGCAGTGATATAATAGAGTGGAAAATATGCTGAATTTGAAGTCAGAGAATCTGGGTTTGAAAGCTTCATCTGCCCATTAGTAGCTGTGTAAACTTGGACGAGTCTCTGAAATTCTGTAAAATAGAGGACTGGACTAGATGCAGTCCCTTATAGTTCTTAAGTCTGATCCTGTGGTTCTCCCAGTGACACATTCCTCTCCCGCTTTTCTTTTTCCCAGTACGATCAGTACAAGACACCCATGGAGAACATCGGACTGCAGGATTCTTTACTGTCCCGATTTGACTTGCTTTTCATCATGCTGGATCAGATGGATCCTGAACAGGACCGGGAGATCTCAGACCATGTCCTCAGGATGCATCGATACCGAGCAGCTGGGGAGCAGGATGGTGATGGTGAGTGAGGCCCCCATCTTCTGTCTCCTTCTAAACATTAGGGAGTGAGGGAGATCAGGAGCAGTCAGTGAGTGCTTTGGGGTTTGAATTGAAAGGGACAATGGCCACCTTCCCACCCCAAAGCCACCTGAATGGTCCTTCCTCGCTAAGATGTTATGGATTCCTTGGGGTCTACCAGTCACTTTACCCCTACTTACTGAAGCTATAGGTTACTTTGTTGCTGCCTTTCTTCTTATCCATGGATCTCACTTCTGTCTTATGTGGTTACCTCGTGAGCATATCTCTCTCTGGCAAGGTCCTCTTTGTCCTTTTGTGGCACCTTTATCCTTTCCATCCACATCTTCATGTTGTATTGCTGGTGCCAATGTGATATATAATGAGAGTTCCTAAATCTTCCCAAGTTGTTTGTTTTTTCAATGCTGTTGTTACGTGTAAAGTGTTCTGGTTCTGTTCACTTCATTGCATCAGTTCATACGTGTCTTCCGTGGTTTCTCTGAGGATGTCCTTTTCATCCTACCTTATGGCCCAGTAATATTCCATTACATTCAAATTCCACAATTTATTCAGCTATTCCCCAATAGATGGGCGCCTTCTTTGTTTCCAGTTCCTTGCTTTAACCAAAAAAAAAATGCTGCTATAAATCATTTTGCACATAAGGGTCTTTTCCCTCTTTCATTGGTTTTTTTTTTTTTACTTGGATTGGGATCTCTGGGTTAAAGGGTGCACACAGTTTAGTGACTTTATTAAGCTCATTTTCTGGGTTTTCTAGCCATGCCCTTGGGAAGTGCTGTAGATATCCTTGCAACAGATGATCCCAATTTTGTCCTGGAGGATCAGCAGGAGACACCTATTTATGAGAAGCACGACAACCTGCTTCATGGAACCAAGAAGAAAAAGTGAGTTATTATTAATCTTTCCTCCCTAGATTAATAATAACAATAACGATAACAGCTAGCATTTATATAGTGCCACCTATGTGCTGGGTACTATGCTCAGCCCTTTACGAATATCAGCTCATTTGGTCCTCAAAAACCTGGGAAATAGGTGTTATTATTATCCCCATTTTACAGAGGAGGAAACTGAGGCAAACAGAGGTTAAGTGACTTGTCCACGGTCACACAGCTAGTAGGTGTCTGAGACTGGATTTACACTCAAGTGTTTTTGCCTCTGGGCCCAGCTTGCTGTTCACTGTGCCACTTCGATGCCTCATCTTACTTATGTCCCCTGAGACAGAGATATTTGCAGTGTAATTAGAGTAGCAGCATGGCACTGGTGATATCATTGGGTTAAGGCATCATTTTTATGAGGCTGTGATTGTAGGCCAATTTGATTTTTTTTTAAAAAGTCTACAAATAATATTCTTCCGTTTGGTCAGCTTCTCAGAGATAATGTGCCTTTGGTCAAAAAAGGAATTGGGAAAAAGTGTGGATGGCTCAAGATGAAACCATCCCTACTACTGAAAATATAACTGAAAGTATATGGCTTCCTGATGGTTTTCCCTCTGTGGAGGAGAGAAAAATCACAGAATCTTAGACCTGGAAGGGACTTCAGAAAATGAGTTGCTCAATTCATATCTGAACAAGAATTTCTGAGTTCAAATCTAGCCTCAGACACTTACCTAGTTGTGTGACCCTGGGCAAGACATTTCTCTTCTATCTGCCTCAATTTCCTCATCTGTAAAATGGGAAAAATAATAAAACCTACTTCCCAGAGTTGTTGTAAGGATCTAGTGAGATGTAGTTGTAAAGGACTTTGCTCATCTTAAAAGTGCTATGTAAACCCTAGCTATCATTATTGTTCTTATCATTAATCTGTGGTTCGTGAACTTGTTTTTTTAAAATGAATAACTGTATTTCAGTATGATTGACTTCTTTTGTAATACTATATATTTTATTTTATACATTCAAAGCTATTTCTCTGAGAAGGGGTCCATAGGTTTCGCCTGTCTATCATAACGTGCACAAAAAGGGTTTAGAACCTCTGTTCTAGCCTTTGTTTGAAGATCTCAAGGTAGGGGAAACTTCTCCCTAGTATATATGAGTAGGTCATTCTACTTTCTCATTGCTCTGGCTGTTAGTACACTGTTATTTAAACTAGCTGTAATTTGACTTTGTACCATGCACCCAATAATTCCAGTGTTGCTCTCTTGGGGCCAAGCTCTTCTTTCTACATGATAGCTCATCAAATATTTAAAGGTATTTAAATTATATGTAGACATATACAACACATTGAAATATATAATACAATATAATAGGTATGTAAGTAAATATATGATATATAAATATATAAAAAATTTAATATTTAAATTCTTCAGGTTAACCAGCTCCGGTTCGTTTAGTTCATCCTTATATGGCATCTCCAGTCCTTTCACCATCCTGGCCTTCCCTGAGTAGTACATACTTTGCTCCCTATATTTGTCTATATCTTTTCTAAAATATGGTGGTCAGAGCAAATACCCTCAAGATGGCTTGACCAGGGCAGAATGTATCAGATCTTTTGTCTCCTTCATTGTAGATAACTATACCTCCCTTAATGAAGCTTAAGATGGCACAAGTTTTTTGGGCTGTCAAAACTATTCATCTAATTAATTCCTCTTTTGGTCTCTAATATACCCCAACCACAGTGTTGTATGTGTTTTTGTTCTACCCAAGTTAATCCTCATGCAAATACCCTCTTACCTTGTTTTTCCCTGAGGTTCTTGACCCAATACAGAAATGGTCGAGAACTCCTGTTCTACAGGAAGAGCCTCATAATTTGTGTTGGTCTGTGTCAGTCATTTTTCTTCTTTCCATTCTCTTCTATGCCCTTCCACCCTCCCCACGGATGATATCTTTCTTCTTCCTCTTGCTTCCTTTTTCTGATTTGTTCCTCGAAGCTGATCTTCTCTTCTTTCAAGGAACACATGCTCTCTCATAACCTGGAAAGTAAATAAATATTCCTCTAGCCCTTTGACTTTATCACCTGGAGCAAAGACCAATTTGAATTGTCTTTACATGGATACTATGTGGTACTGTCAGGTACACAAACATGGCATGCTCTCTTGGGGTCACATTAAAATTCTCATCTGCCATGCTTGTTTGAAACAAATTTTAGAGTCTTTTTCCTTGCCAGCTCTTCTGGCGGCTATCTAATGTGGCCAAGCAGCGTTTTGTGAGGTGTGAGACTTGAAGCCCAAATGTGACCGTACAGGGCATGTTCTTCCATGTGCTATGTTTGTTCTAAATGGCCTACGGAAAACAAGCAATAGAGATTTGAGGTTCATTGAGCTTGTGGACCAGGAAGCATCTGCTGTTCTAGGGTTACCTATGCTGAAGAACACAATGCTGAGCACCGATCCTTGGGTCACTCCACTAGAGACTTCTTTTCAAATGGAAATTGACTCTTTGAATTCTGGTTTATCTGAACTTTCAAACTGATCTCAGGGTCATTTGAAAGCTAAAGTAGACACCTAGAGGTTTATAAATTAGATTTATAAATCAAATCCTAGCTCAAAGGATGAAGTGTAGGAGCCTTTGCCTGTCTAGTTCATACAAGTCCACTTGAGGTAGTGGAGGGTACACAATGCTTTCCAAACCTAGAGATCTGTCCTCTTCAATCTTGACTGTGCTCTGATCTATGGTCAAATCTGGTCAAATCTTTTTTTCTATGAGGATGGTGAGCCTGCCACCAAGGCACTTTTTTAAGGCAGTTGGAAAGGAATAATAGGTATGGGGTTGAGGGGCAGTGAGGTGGCACAGTTGATAGAGCACCGGCTGTGGAGTCAGGAGGACCTGAATTCAAATCTGGCCTCAGACACTTGACACTTACTAGCTGTGTGACCCTGGGCAAATCACTTAACAACATTGCCTAGCAAAAAAAACCCCAAACAAACATAAACAAAAGACCCCCCAAAATAGGCATGGGGTTGAGGAGTGCATTTACAGGCAAATCTTATCTTGATTTTTTTGCAGGGGGGGTGTCTCATGGATGCCCTTGGCAGTGTAGTGAAGCCTATGGGCCTTTTCCCCAAATAATGTCTTTAAATGCATAAAAGAAAGTACATATAATGGCAAAAGAAACCATAGGTTAATAAAGATAAAGGTGTAAGTATTTTTCCCTGTCCAAGTTCATCACTATTCATGGATGTCCCTTAAAGGTCCTCGGACCCCCAGGTTAAGATCCTTTGGTCTCCATGAATAATGGTGAGGATTGTCTCACTGGTATTTTTGTGGGGGCCCAGGGAGAAGACAGTGAGTGCAGCATTCATGAAGAAGTACATTCACGTGGCTAAAATCATCAAGCCTGTGCTGACACAGGAGGCAGCCAACCACATTGCTGATGAATATTCACGCCTACGAAGCCAAGATAGCATGAGCTCTGATGTTGCCAGGGTGAGTGAGGCCACTTGGAGGGGTGTGTGAGTAGTGGGTAGGACTGTGCTTTGGAGGGCTTTGAGAGGATGTGAGTGGGTTAGGGATGGTACCCATAACCAAAATATTTTTATTCCCCTGGTCTTTTCTTCCTGAAGGTTTGAAAGACTTCATCTTGGGGGCAGCTAGGTGGCACAGTGGATAGAGCACCAGCCCTGAAGACAGGAGGACCTGAGTTCAAATCCGGCCTCAGATCAAATACTTGACACTTACTAGCTGTGTGACGCTGGGCAAGTCACTTAACCCCAATTGCCTAACAAACAAACAAACAAACAAAAACAAACCAAAAAAAAAAGACTTCATCTCATAGTCTCTATTTCTCTTTTTTTAGGGTAATGGCATCCTGAGCCAAGTTGAGCCTAAATTTTCATATCTAATTGGTACCAAGGGACATACAGTGGTAGACTAACGGTAATCCCTAAATACACTTTGTTTCTTTTAGGAACCTCTCACATTCTAGCCAAGGCTTTTTGATCTCCAAAGAAACTTAGGGTTAGCTAGCCCAGCATATTTTTTTTTGACGTAAAATCATAAAATTGGGGTAAATATTTCTAAAGTTTTATTATTTAACATTCAGTTAAAAAAAATTGAGTTCCAAACTCTTCCTCCCTTCCATCTCTCCCCCACTTGAGAAGGCAAGCAATATGCTACCATTTATATATGTGAAATCATGTAAAACATTTCCATTTTAGCCATGCTGCAAAAGTGAAAAAATTACGCTTCAGTTTGTACCATTGTCTGTCTGGAGGTGGATAGCATAAATCCTTTGGAATTGTCTTGGTCATTGTCTTGATCAAAGTAGCTAAATCTCTCACAGTTGATCATAGTTATGGTATTACTGTTACTGTGTACAATGCTCTGGTTCTGTGCACTTGAGTTTGCATCAAATCATAAATATCTTTTTAGGTTTTTCTGAAACCAGCTCCATTTCTTTCTTTCTTTTTTTAAAATTTTTTTTGGCAATTGGGGTTAAGTGACTTGCTCAGGCTCACACAGTCAGGTGTTTGGTCTGAGGCCGGATTTGAACTCAGGTCCTCCTGACTTCAGGGCCGGTGCTGTATCCACTGTGCCACCTAGCTGCCCCTCCCCTCATCATTTCTTACAGCACAGTAATATTCCATCACAGTCAAGATGCCACAACATATTTGGCCATTCCCCAATTGATAGGAATCTCTCCAGTTTCCAATTCTTTGCCACCGCAAAAAGAGCTGCTATAAATAGTTTTTTCAAATAGGTCCCTTTCCTTTTTGGTTATTCTTTACCCTTCAGTTTTACGGACATCAATGGGACTCTTCTAGGTTTTTAGTTAGTTTTTTTTTCTTAGATTCTCTTCCAAAAACCACTCTTGTTTCTAAGTGATCTTCCTCTTCCCATGTTGGTGCCCTCTTTGAGGCATCCAGAATTCAAAATTCTCTGCTGGAATCTGCTACTGGCTTCCCATGGGATTTCAAGCAAACCTTCATTAACTCACCTCAGTTCCTAAAATCTGTGCACTGGGTATGATGACTTCCTGCCCGGAACCCAGGAGCATAATGACCAAAGCTGACTCCTTTTCCCCTTTTCTCCCAGACATCCCCAGTCACAGCCCGGACGCTGGAGACTCTCATCCGATTGGCTACTGCCCATGCCAAGGCCCGGATGAGCAAGACTGTTGAGCTTCAGGATGCAGAAGATGCTGTGGAGCTGGTCCAGTATGCTTACTTCAAGAAGGTGAGAAGCAGAGGTGGGATGGAGATAATTGGGACAAGGAGCAAGAGTCATACAGTCCCCAGGGCTTAAATCTTTACCTGAAACTTGAGTCATGGGAACTCTAACTTTTAGTTTTGTTTTTGATACATGCTTCCTGTCATACATGTCAGTCTTATAACCAGCATGCTTTTAGGAGAGTTGCTTTCAGTGAATAGAGCACCAGGCCTAGAGTCAGGAGGACCTGAGTTCAAAGCCAGCCTCAGTCCAGACATTTGATAACTAGCTGTGTGACCCTGGGCAAGTCACTTAACCCCAATAACCTCACCAAAAAAAAAAGAGAAAGATTAAAAAGAAGAGAGCATTGCTTTTGGAGGGTGTTCCTTGGCCTACACCCCCATTTGAACATCTCCAAATTGATTCTGTTAACTTACCCAGATCAGGAATTAGCTACATAGGAGATATGTGGGGCCACCCATTTTTGGTTGATTATGTCCACCATTCCCAGAATGCCTCTCTTTGTGAGTTGAAAGGCAAATTTAATGGTAAAGTCTCTTAGTGGCTTAGCATTTTCAGTGAACATACCAGTTCCATCCATACATGTTTCTCATTGCACTTCTTTTCAGGGGACTTCAATTTCTTTCTCTTAGTTGTCTTTGTTTCTTGATGGCAACATTTTCTAATGTCTAACAAAGTGACGTTTACTATCTCATGAGGGCACAACATGGTGTGTTGGTAGCCAAAAAGCAGATCACAAACCTCATCCTCTAAGAGAGCAGCAGCTGCTGTGATTTGAGGGCACGGACGTACTGGAGAAGACAGCAGCTAGTTGACAGGCATCAGGTGTCATAGACAGTGGGCCAAGGGGCAGCTGGGTGGTGTAGTGGATAGAGCTCTGCTTAGGGTCAGGAGGACCTGAGTTCAAATCTGGTCTCAGACACTTGACACTTACTAGCTGTGTGACCCTGGGCAAGTCACTTAACACTGATTGCCTAACTCAGAGAAAAAAAAAAACAGCGGGCCAAAGGGATGGTCGGAGGTACTGGCTGAACACCACCGGTACCACACCCTTCTGCTCTTGGGCAAAGAGGGAAAAGGCTTGCCGTAATCTGGAAGGCTCAGAGCTGATGCTGAGAGGAGAGATCTTTTAAGTCATCGCCTGTTGTCCAGGCAGCAGAGGCAGAGGTTCTAGGACAGAGTTTTCAATTAGAGCCGTTAATGGTTTAACAATCTTGCCAAAGGATGGAGTATACTCTCCTCAGTAGCTTCCAGCTCCAAGTACGGTCTTTCTTTGTCTTCATTCATGCAGTGTTGAGTCCCCTTCCAGGTGAGTGTGAACTAGACTGAGTGGAAAACTGGGAAAGGTTGAGCATAGTTTAGTAAGAGTAAATCAATAGCTGTGTCGGGAATGCTAGAGACAATGGTATCTGGATGAGGTACCTAGGAAATAGCATAGGAATTAATAGCACAGAGAACTTACCCAGAGAACAACAGAGAGGCTGGCTTAGATATTTCAGGGTCCCTTTGTCAATCATAGATGGTCCAAACGAATAGTTCTTTATTTTACTAATTTAACTTTGGGGGAGATTTTATATGGAAAACAAATATAACTAATGGTGATAATTTTATAAAAGGAACATTAAAAGAAAAAAACAGGACTTTTGAGAATATCCAGATTATAATTTCAGAAATGGTAGATGGTAATAGTTTTACACAAAGATCATTAATTCTGCCAGTTGAGAAAGAATGACTTTTAAAATATCCAAGTTATAATTTTAACAATACATGGTTTAGTTGGAGGAGGGTCACCTTTTATCTCAAAGGAGCAGTATGGCTTCATCTTAAAATCTTCATATTATTAGAGAGATTAGCCCAAACTAATTCAGAGGTACTAGATGGAATCTGCCTAGTGGTGGTATCAGTAATAGTGGTTGTTACAAATACAGAGAGAGAATAAGGTGAACAGTCAATAGTATCTCTAAGTATAAATCTCTCCTCTCTCTCTCTCTCTTCTCTCTCTCTCTTTTTGATGAGGCAGTCGGGGTTAAGTGACTCACCTAAGGTCACATAGCTAGTAAGTGTCAAGTGTCTGAGACTGGATTTGAACTCAGGGCCTCCTGACTCCAAGGCTGGAGCTTTATCTACTGTGCCACCTAGCTGCTCCTATAAATCTCTTTCAGTGATGTCAACTATTTGGCATGAACAGCAGTGAGTGATGTTATTGTTAAAGGGTCAGAAGTTAGACTCAGGAAGCTCAAATTTTTTAGTTTCATGTTGTAAACCATCTTTTCCCTCACCAATACCTGCATCATTCTGAGGAGTACTAAAGTTTCTTCATGGCACAGGATTGGGTAAAGAAAACTCAACTTGCCTTGGACTGGTCCTGAGGTTTCTCTTCTGATCTACCTGTTTCTACAATTTCCAGTGATCCTTTTCCCCCACAGTAAAAAAGAATCTAAGGGTTTGCTTTCGTCTGCTTTGGACTCAAGTGCAGGTGCTATTGAAAGAGACTTAGGGTCCCAGTTACTCAATTTCTCTTCTTTCTTGTTCTTAACCCCTTTCAAAACTGCTTTGAGCTTTGGGCTCACTCATATTCTTCTGATGCCACTCAGGGCAATTATTCATGAAAAACTGATTTCTGAGGATGTCCAATTTACAAAAGCTGTGTTAATGATTTTGGCATCCTTAGGGTTAATAGGGTCAAGTCCTACATAATTTTTAGCTCCTTTGTGGACAAGGTCATGGAACTGGTTTGGGATCTCTTTCTTTTCTTGCCTAATTTCCTGAAACTTGCTAAAATTCTCTGTCAGCCTCTTTTGCTTGAACAAGTCTATCTTCATCTGTAGGAAGATTAGGGTTCAGATGTCACTCAAGTTTAGGGGTCTGGGTCAGATTGTGTTCAGGGGAAAGTGGTGGGCAATCCCCCCAGCTTGGCTGTTTTCTCTTCATTTACCGTTTCCTGTCTTACTTCTGTGGTTTAGGGGTGTGGAGGAAAGCTAAACATAGTTTCCTCATTTTCAATACCTTGAGAAGAAAGCTCACTTGCTACTTGAGAAGAAAAATTACTAATTGATTGCAATAAATCTGTGACTTGGGTAGCCAGTCTAGAAGTTCTCTAACATGCAAACAAAAGAAATGGATGATAAGTTCAGTTTCCTCGGAAATCCTATTACCACAGCAGAACAAAGAGTTGACTATTGTATTCAAAATGCACCAGAGAAGGTAAGAAAAAAGAATAAATCTAAGAATTGGTTTTAAATGATTTATAGCTTTAGATATTAACCTAAATGTTTCTAAATAGAAAAAAATAATTATTTCTAAAAAAATAATTATTTATGGCTTAAGCAACTAATCTAAAAAGTTTCTTAAGGTACAAAATGTAATCACAGAAAATTGAGAAGAAAAAATAAGTTCACCAGCTACTTTTTTCCCCAAAATTAATTAATTAATTAATTTATACCAGCAATTCTTTTTAATCAATCTATGGTTTGAATAGCTGGTTAAAGAATAAGGCATTGTAGAAACAAGAACTTTAATGAGGACAAAACACACAGACATGCTACAGGCAGTAAGCAAGGACCCACATTTTGTTAATTCCTTTTGTGAAATCTTCCTTGCCATTTACTGATTCCCTGCAGATAGCAAAACTGCTTTGAGTTTGTCACTGACTGAACTTGACACAAGGGTAAATCCCAGTTTTAAAATCCTATCTAAATAGTACCCTATCTAACTAAGCTGTTGTTACCTAAAATGAGTAAATGAGTCCCTGTCTACACTCATTGTTGCCCTGCTAAGCAAATCTACGATGCTCTTTATTCCTTTGGGTCGCCTTGTTTATGTCTCCTTTTCTACGTAGAATTGCAACTGCTTTTGGAGGGGTTTGGGAGAGAGCTCAAGCAAGTCATTGCTTTTACTCTGCCATCTTGGCTCCGCCCCTGCAACTGCTTTTGAAGGCATGACATTACCAGCTACTACCATAGCTTAGCGTCTGGCCACTAAATCCAATCTCCTTGCTGAGTCTCTCACCTATGACAAAGAGAGTCCTAACTGAATCCCTACTCTGAGTTCTATTTACTGCTGTGACAAAATATTAACTGGCCTAACCAGAGGTGTGACCAGGCAGCTTATAGTACCTTGTAAGTATGGGCCCTAGCGGCTTGTTTCTGGGGTTGTTTGGAGGCTTAACTTGCCCTCTACAGTCTGTGTTTGCGTGGTGTACCCCACATAGACTCGCGCTAACTTCCCTATGTCTGTTTCCTTATACAGACCCGTCAGATCTCCTTTTCAGCAGGATTTACTCAGGAATCTTTATCTAGAGTCTCATCTAAAATCTAAAAATCTGAAAAGCTGGTACCAGTCAAATAAAGCAGATAGACAAACACAGAACAATGAGTGAAACATTGATTTATTCTCCTTTTTTGCAAATTTAGTTTCTAATCAATATCTAATCAACACCCAGGACTGTGTTCTTACTATAAATCACAGATTAATAGATTATCAATTAATAGATCAATCAATATCTTTAGGAAATTCTTTAAAATTTTCTTTTCCTTTTTGAAAGCCAGAAGGAAAGGCATAAGAATGTTATAGACCAAGATACAGAATTTTAAAATCAGTTTTAGAATCTCCAATCACAGATGTTAGTCTCAAATTATTTATTATCTGTCTTTTACTCTGCAATTTAGTGTGGCCAGTATTGGAAATAGAGAGAGAAAAGAAAGATTTGTCTTCTATGAAGACTTTTTGAAAATTTATTTTTTACATCCTGTTTCTTTTTGGTTGATCAAGCCAAAAGAACATCTGTTGGCTATGGGTTAGTACAAAATATGGATAGCACAAGACAGACACTTAACACAAGTGGGCCCTTGAAGAACATGGCTTATTCTTAATTTCTGGGACAAAAAGAAATAACACTTAACCTGGTTTCTGGTAATCTTTCTCCACACACTTTTAACTTTCTCTTTAAGTGGAAACCAGGGAGAGATTAAGATGAAAAGTTTACCAAGAGAAATGGAAAAGAGAAACAGGATCCTCTTAGGGTTGGAGGTTTACCTGAGCTTAGAGAGAAAGGGATCAGCAAGTAAAAGGAGTCCAGGTTCAGGATGGTCTGGAGAAAGAACCAGATTTGTAGTTTCTGGAGCATTCGCTGAAGAGTCCTAGGAGCTGGAGTCCAAGCTGTGGTCCTTTTCTGTGCTGTATGAGGTGCCACTCTGTAAAAGAGAAACTATGAAGCCTTTCTGGGCAAAGAAACCAACTTTCATTAAGAGAAACAAAGTGGAGGCTACAGTTACGCCCTGACTGTATGACCTGACACTCTGAGATACAAAATTCACGGTCATTTGTAGGTCTCTTGATTCATGTATGGTGCAACAAAGTCCTCTAGAGGCAGTCATGCAAGATTGCATTTTGCAGGTCGTTATTGTCCTAACTTTATGACATCCTAACTTTGTTCGTTGCATGGTACCTCAGCCCTTTAGGGGGTTTTCTTACTTTACCACTTTAATATAAAGATTATATATAGGTGTGATTATTATGGTCACATACTTAAGATACACACTTTGTAATGATTTAGTTACACGTCTAAGGTTAACTAACACAAGAATTTCCCTGGGACTACATCATAGTTTGGTTACGTACAGGTTTTTTTTTCACCTGGGACTGTGTTCTTACTATAAATCATAGAGTTACTTCTTATCCTAGTGATTATAGCTGATAACAGATCAGCAAGGCAGTACAGAGCAAAGCACTGAAGACATTGATTATTGATCTTTTTCCTTTCGTGACCCTGCTGGCCCTGACCTTATATGATTCTATGATCACCTGAGCCAACCTTCCCTCATTTTACAGCTCAGGAAGTGGGCCCAGAGAATGAAGCACTTTGCCCACTGTCAAACATCCGGTGTGTGAGGAAGAGCAGCGTCCTTCTCCAACATGGTTACACCTACTGGTGGGAAGCCTGGGTTTGAATCTCAGCTCCAGCACTAGCCGTGTGACCATGGGCAAGTTACTTGATCTCTCTGAACATCTGCCTCATTTGTAAGGTGGCAGTCATCAGTAATGCTTGTACTGCTCACTCCACAGGGTTGTGGCAAAGAAAGTGCTTGGTAAACCTTAAAGAAATAAGTGTATACCCTTTCCCTTAGTCCTTGATCTCTACCCTGAGCCAGCTGTGAGTTTGGGCATAGATTTCATTTTCCTCTCTAGGGGGATTACATGTAGGATTGCAGTCTGTCTCTAACCATGGCATGAAGGGGCAGTATGTGGGAGACCCTGGGTGCCTTCCATGACATTGGCCTCAAAAGGTCAAGGATTTGTGATCTTGAGAATGATTACTGTAATAATTTACATGGAATTAATCCTTTGTAACCTCAAAGGATTTTGTGATTACATTGTACACACATAGAATGACAAAGACGCTATACATGCACACATATGTATAATACATAGGCACGTAGGCATATATACACATACCTACATATCTATAGATATATAAACATATACATATATACAAACAGAAAGTTATACTATATTATGCTAAACATGATAGATAGAAACACATGTTACATAACATGTATAAACACGCATGGACATATACATGTACACACATTCATACATATACATGAATAGCTCATTAGTACACTAATCCACAGCCTCTGTGATCTCTTAGGCCTTAGAGTTAAGAAGACCTGAGTGTCCAGTTCTACCTCAGGCATTTAATAGCTGTGTGAGCCAGGCAAATCACTTAACCTCTATGTACCTCAGTTTCCTTATCTGTAAAATGAGGATAATAAATAGCACTTACCACCTGGAATTGTGAAGATCAAATGAGATATTTGTAAAGCGCTTTGCAAACCTATAAAGGGAAAGAAATACTATTATGTATACATGTATATGTGTATAGGTACATATACACATGCACATTTATGTTACATGTATACATGTATTATAACAACAATAATAATAATAAACATTTATAGAGAGCTTACTGTGTGCTGGGCACTGTGATAAGTGCTTTACTATTACTATCTCATTTGGTCTTCAAAGCAACCTCCCCAGGAGGTAGGTGTCATACAGCTATTGGAAGTGACCAGGGCTGGATTTGAGCCAGGGTCTTCCAGATGCAAGGCCTAGTGCTCTATCCAGTGTGCAGCCTAGCTGTCATGAAGTATTATTCTGTGTATATTATATTTGTATGTATATGTGTCTGCATAACACTTTTTACTGGAATATGACTTCATTAGTATAGGAAGTTCCTCATCACAGTCATTAATGTCAAAGGTGAGCTTAAAACTCAGGGCTTCTTCATGCTAAGGGTTTGATCTCTATCCACTTTGCCACGCTGACTCTCAGGGATTTTATATACATTATTTTATTTGTGTACAACAATCCTGTGAGTTAGGTGTAGCGTAAGTATATTTTACCTTATTATATATGGAGAAGGACTCTGAGACACAGAGAGATTAAGTGACCAGCTATTTGAGGATCAGAAGAGCATAGGGTGTAGGTGCTTTTTTATCCTCCCGGTAGGATCCGTGCGTCTGATCTGTCTTTTAATTTCTGGGTTTGGTCCTAGGTCCTAGAGAAAGAGAAGAAGCGAAAGAAACGAAATGAGGATGAGTCAGAGACAGAGGATGAGGAGGACCAAATTCAGGATGGCCATGAGCAGAGGAAGAAGAAGAAGAAGTGAGTGGAGCAGAGGAGATGGGAGGAGGAAAGGCTTTTTTTGGGGGGAGGCAGGGAAGTGGGAGTGTTTCTATGCTTGTTTGCTTAGGAATGCTTGGTTACTTTTCCTTCCTTGGAGAAAGATGGTCTGGGCTATTCGCAGCAGCATCTCAGGCCAGGGTTACCAGAGAAGGAAGAAAAATAAGGACTTCCCTTGATGTGCTTTGCCCACAACTGGGATCTGTTGAGTATCAAGGAAATGGAGCAACAAGCCCAGGCCAGGTTGAGATCCTGCTGCCTGTGTTTCTGTGCCTGTAGAGAGATGACTTTTTGGAATCTCAGTTACTTTTTGAAAAGATGAAAGCTTCAAAGTCTGTAAATTCCTAAGGGGATTTAGGGAGCTTTGGAAAGTGATGCTTTTAACCTGTGTTGATCAATTCTCTAGGAGGAAGGTCGATGCTTCAGAGGGGAAAGAAGGGGAATCTTACGACCCCTATGACTTCAGTGACACAGAAGAGGAGATGCCCCAGGGTGAGTGTCCTTCACCAGTTTGGAGGCTAGGTTGTCAGGGTCTGCATCTGGAGGGCAAACCCTTAGCTATCCATCACCCCAGGGCAGGCTCTTGTTTTCAGTATCTCCAGGTATTGGCTGCTCTTCCTTGATTTCCTCTTGCAGAAATCTTCCCCTCTTCCCACCTTGGATATTGCTGTATCCTTTAAGCTGAATTTCCTTTGGTTCTTATATTCTGCTGTGTATCATGGAAACACCTGATGCATTGGGGCTCTCGCCTATTCGCAGGACCACTGTATGAGTTGGGTTTGTAGAAAGTAGAGTGGGCACTTTTTTTTATTACTTGTTATAAATTTGGCTTTAACTTGTTATTTTCCCTGTCCCTCCATTTACTCTTCTCCTGCAGTGCATACCCCAAAGATGCCTGACCCACAGGAATCCAAAGAGGGCCAGAAGACAGAGTTGGCGGAATCTAGGTGAGAGGTCGTAGGGAATCATTACATCTGTCTTTTCCTGAGTTGTCTATGTCAGTTGGTGAATAAATCAGTAAGTATTTATTCACTTGTTATTTATTTCACTGGAGGTGATGATCCTTTCCTGGAATTGTAGATTATCAGAAAGTCATACCTAGAAGGAAGGTGACAAATCCTATGGTCAGGATCATAGATTAGAATTGGAAAAGGGACCTTGGAGGCCATCTGATGTAACCCTTTCATTGTACAGGTAAGGACACTGAGGACTAGGGAGGTTAAGTTAGGATTACATAGCTAGAAAGTATCAGGTGAGATTTGAACCCAGGTCTACCATTATGATGTTGTCCCTTAAACTCTATAAAAAAAGGGCTTAGTCTAGATGACCTCCCATCCTTAAATCTGTGATCCTGTGTCTCCGAAGTCCTGCGTTCTTATCTTACTACACCATTCTTCCTGTCCTGACTCCTTTTTTTTTGCAGTTAGAAAAATCAAGGGGAAGGCATTTATTCAAGGTCACAGGGTAAGTGTTAGAGCTGCCTCTGACATTTACTCTAAGTGTGACCTTGGGCAAATCACTTAACCTCTGAGCCTCACTTTTCCTCATCTGTAAAATGGAGTTGGACTGGATGGCCTCTTACCTGTCTTGGCCTCAGTTTCCACATCTGTAAAATAAGATGTTCGCTAAATTCTCTTCCAGCTTTGAATCCTTGGATGCTTTGTAAGCTGTTAAAGGATTCTAACTCATCCTGAGAAAGATCCTGAGGTGGGGATATATAATCATTAAGAACAACTCAAAGCAAGGGTTTCCCAACTTACTAGTTCATTGACCTTGGGAAGGATGAAGATGCTAATAGCCATGAGGTGATAGGGCAACCTGTGGAGAGAAGAGCTTGTTTGGGCCCAGAACTCCCTCTCTGTTGGAAATAACCAGTGATTCGCCAGGGCTGGCTCAGCTGGGTGACAGGGAACCTCATTGTAGAGCAAAATAGTCAAGTCTGCTAAAAGAGGAAGTTACTAGGGGCAGCCATGTGTGATGGGTGGAGAGAGAAAGAAGGAAGGTGGGGGACCGGATTGGGAGTGGGGAGAGACAGACAAACAGACTTAATGCCCTCACATCTACATCTGGCTTTGATGACTTTGGGGTTGAAAGGTGGCCTAGAACGTAGTGTTCCTTTTTGTTTTTTACATCGTAATCAATTCTTTCCATCACAGTCATTTATCAATACGATGAGCCCCTCCTTACCTCCTAGTCCTTGATGAGCCCTGTCTTGGGAACAAAGAAAAACAATTAAGCAAAACCAGTCCATTGATGACTGTCTCGTAGTGTATGCAACAGTCTGCGTCCGTAGTTCACCAGCTCTGTGATGCACTTTAAAAAAAATGTGTTATTGATTTCTTTTGTCTTTACATTACCTTCATTTCCAAATATATCCTTTTTCCCCTTCTTTGAGAGCTTGGAAGGACAGGGACTGGGCCTATGATTTCTCTGATAGAGTGCAGTTTCTCATTTTAGAGTTGCCTAGAGAACCGAGAGTGTTCACCCAGCGGCTACTATGTGTCAAAGAGGGGACCCAGGTCTTTTTGGCTTCTAGTCCAGTTCTAGCCACCAGCCTATTCTGCCTCTCCCTTGTAACAGAGAATGAAAAAAAGAGGAGGAAAAGAGAGGAGTTCATCAGAAATAACCAGCACATCAAAGAAGATGTAATCTTCCACACTCATTGTCTCCCACTTCTGGAAAGAAAGGAGGGAGGTTTAGCTATCCACTTGAAATGTTCCTGCATGCCGCCCATCCATCCCCATTCTGACAGTAATGCTTTTTTCTGTCCTGGGCAGGTTGAAGGAATTCAAGGTTGCCCTCCTGGAAGTGTTCCGGGCAGCCCATGCCCAGTCTGTGGGTATGAATCGTCTTATAGAATCCGTTAACCAGGACAATGAATCGCCCTTTTCCCCAGCTGAGGTCCAGGCTTCGTTGAACAAGATGCAAGATGATAACCAGGTCATGGTCTCCGATGACATCATATTCCTCATCTGATTCTGCTGTTTCCCTGACAAGGGAGCTTATCTTGAAGACTGGTTTCGTTCAAGAAAAGTTTTCCCCATCCTTTCCCCATTCACATTTCCTGTGTTTGTATCTCCTTCTGCATACATCCCTTCTTCCAGCCTTTCCCTGCTGACTCATTATACTGCCTGAGACTTTGCTGAACAGAAGCTGAGAGCCTTGGGGGGTCCCAGTGAAGTTGAAGCTGGACTTAGAAGGAAAGCTTTGAACATGGAACTTCATCATGTCACTGTGGGGTGACAGGGGAGGGGTGGAAGAGAAAGACCCTGGGGCCGTGAGGTTCTTTGAACAAGCTACCTCCCTCATTGGGGAAGAAAAATTCTCAGTGGCTTTTTTTCTGTGAAAGTCGCAATGTCAGCAATGACACTTCACTCTTTGATGCAGCTTCTGTTTTGGTTGTAGTCCATTTCGGCTGAGATCTGCTGGTTGGTTTTTTCAGACCTCATCTGAATTAAGTGTGCTGACTGCCCCTGGTCCACACTTAGACTGCTGTCCCAGTTTTAAGACCCAGCATTCACTTGTTTGAAATAGCACAGGAGGCGGTTTCCTGGGTTAGTTGGCTCAAGTATGCTTCGAAAATAATCCAGTGGTTTGAGAACAATATATATTTTTTTCTTCTGTAACAATCTGGGTAATTGCATTAATTCACCATTTTGATAATGTAGATTTGGCCTGAATTACCTGTGCGTACTCCCTGCCCCCCTTCTCACCTTAATGTGTGTGCTCCCACGCATGCACCAATTATTTGGTTTTGCTTTTCAAAAAAAAAAATATCTTTGGCTTTGGATTCACTGCTGCAATTGTTGCTCAGACACTGAGCCACCACAGGGTGGCGACAGGTAGCTGTACATAGGGCCAACCCAGCTGGAGAGGGGCAGGCAATTGGGTTCAGGCTGATCTGTTGGGGTAGCTTTCCTCTGTCATCTGTAAGAATATTTAATTAGCGTGGATAACAAATCAAACCCAGTAGTGGGGGGATACCTTTTCCCTAGAGTCTAGAGACAGCCAACCAAACTGGAGGAAGCCCAGTTGCCTAAGGAGTGAAACCTTCCAGAAACCATTTCTGGAGAAGAAGAATTGGCCCATTATTGGTCTTTGGCAGGACAGAGATGGCAGACCTTCTGATGATAGATGAGCTTTGGTGCAAAAGCTGACCTCTCATTTTTCAGGCCTTGGTGAAGCTATACTCATTTGAGTATCCCAGAAATTTAAGGTCATTAGCCTTCTCAGGCTGTGGATAGACACTGCCCACCAGATTGCATGGAAAGTGGCTGCTGGAACCTCCTGCTATTGTAAAATTTGAATGGGGTTGGTTTGCTAGCCTTTGAAGAATTTTTTTAAAAAAACAGTAAAACAGACATGGAAGTTCTTTTGGGAATAGCTCTCTTGGATTGGAAACTGAGCTGGGTTGGCAGGCATGGCTCTATGGGAGGAGTCAAATCAGTTCTCAATCAATATTTATTAAGCATCTACTATGTACCAGGCACTGCATTAAATACTGGGGATACAAAAAGACAATTCTTCAAGGAGCTCACAATCTAATGGGGACAACAAATAAATACAGACAAGCTGTGTAGAGGATAACTAGAAAATAACAGAGGGAAGGACACTAGAATTAAGAGGGTTTGGGGAAATCTTCCTGTAGAAGATCAGATCTCAGTTGAGCCTGGAAGCCAGGGAAGCCAGTAAACACGAAGAGGGAGAGCATTCCAGGCATGAGAGACAGAAAACTCCAGGAGTGGAGTGTTGGAGTGTGTCTTATGCATGGAACAGCAAGGAGGCCCAGCATCACTGGATTGAAAAGTATTCTGAAGGGAATAAAGTGTAAGCAAACTGGAGAAGTAGGAAGGGGCAGGTTATGATGAGCTTTGAATGTCAAGAGAGTTTATATTTGATTCTGGAGGTAACAGGGAGCCATTGGTATCTATTGAGTGGGGGTGGGGTGATGTAAATGACCTATGTTTTAGGAAAATCACTGGTGGTTAAATGGAGGATAGATTGGAGTGGGAAAGGACTTGATATGGGCAGTGGGCTATCGTAATAGTTTGGGTATGAAGTGATGATGGCTTGCACTAGAATGATGGTAGTGTCAGAGGAGAGAAGGGCATATTCAAGAGATGGGGCAAAGGTGAAATCATTAGGCTGTGGCAACACATGGTGTGGGGGTGAGAGGAATTGAAGATGACTCTTGGATTGTGAGTCTGAGTGACTGGGAGGATGATGTTGCCCTCTACAGTAACAGGGAACATAAGAAGTTAAGGAATTCAGTTTTGGACATGTTAAGATGTCTACTGGGCATCTAGTTTGAGATATCTGGAAGACTGTTGAAGATGGGAGATTGAGAGTCAGCAGAGAGGTGGGGCATGAGAATCACCAGCATGGAGATGGGAATTAAATCCTGGGACCTGATGAGATCACTAAGTGAAATAGTATAGAGGGAGAAGAGAAGATGGCCCAGGATAGAACCTTGAAGGGGACGCCTATGGTTAGAGGGGGTGATCTGGAGGAGTATCCAGTAAAGGAGACTGGGAAGGAGCAGTTAGATAGGCAGGAGGAGAACAGGATAGAGTAGAAAACCTAGAGAAAAAAGTATCAAGGGGGAGAGAGTCATCAACAGTATCAATGGCTGCAGAGAGGTCAAGGAGAATGAGGACTGAGAAAAGGCCTGGATTTTGTAGCTAAGGCATCATTGGTAACTTTCAGTGGAATGATAAGGTTGGAGGCTCAATTATAAGGAGTTAGAGAGGAAAGGAGGTGGATGGCCTTCCTAAAAAGGAGTTTAACCACAAAGGGGAGAAGAGATAGGACAATAAAGTGAAGGGTTTTTTTTTTCAGGATAGGGGAGTCATGGGCATATTTGTAGGCAGCAGAGAAATAGCCAGCAGATGGAGAATTGAAAATAAGTGACTGAGTGGAAATGACAGAGGGGGCTCTCTCTTGGAGGAGATGGGAAGGAATGAGATCACTTGGGCAGGTAGAGGTTAGCCTTTGTTAGGAGTAAAGGCCACCTCATGAGATGGGTGAAAGAGAAGATAGTGGGAGAAGGCCTTGGAGTGATACGAGATGAGGAAGAAGGAAGAAGAAGGAGCTAACAGTGAATGACTTTAATTTTTTTCTATAAAATGAGGCAAGGTTCTCAGTTGAGAGGGTGGGAGAGCCTTAGGAGGTTAGAGGAGGGATGAAAAGGTTTGGGAGAGCCACTGTGGAGAGTGGGATAGTGAGTTGATAAGGGAGGGATAGAAGAATTTCCACAGTGAGGGCCCACTTGAGGTTGTGTAACAAATTTGAAGTAGATCAAGTCAGAATGGTTGTATGATTTGCACCATTTTCGTTCAGCAGCACGTGTGCAGGATAGAAGGTGGGGAATGGTGGGAATGATTTAAGGCTGATGTTTGCAAGGCAGGTTGTAGTCCTGCAAAATGATAAGGGGGCTAGGGATTCAAAAGAGGAGGACAGTGTAGAGTTTAATTGGTTCGCCAAGGGGTCAAGATGGGGAAAAGAGGTGAGAGTGGCTAGTGCAGGGGAGATGGCCTGGGAGGGAAGTGAGGGGTCAAGGGATTGGAGGTTATGGTGCAGATTAAGAGTAGGGTTTTGTAAGGGGGGGAAGGGAAGTGAAAAGCTAATAAATTATGATCAGATAAGGGCATTACAGAATTCTTATGTGGTGGTGATGCATTTGTAGTTGATAAGATCAAAGGTATGTCCATCTTTCTATGTGGTTGAGATGGGATGGTAGAAAAGGTTAAGTCATAGAAAGTGACTAGGTTGAAGAACTGAGTGGTTGGGGAGTTGAAGTCTCCTAGTACAAGGGCAAGAGTTGGGGAAGAGAGAAATTGTGAGCCGAGTAGTGAACTCACTGAAGAAGGGGAGTGATGGGGGGGGGAAGGAGGTCTGTAGACAGTAGCTACCAGAGTTTTGATTGAATGGCAGATATGAATATCGTGGAGAGGTGATGGGGGGGGGGGGGAAGGAGGAGAATGAGGAAGGACAGAAAGGAAGGAAGAAAGGAAGGAAGGCAGGAGCATTGCCCAACTGGAACTGGCCACTTGGGTCCCCAGGAGGCAGCTGCTACTACTACTCACAGAGTGTTGTTTGTCCTACATTCTTGAAGAGAACCAATGACATAATGTCTTGACTTGCAAATGAATTAGATTTAAGTGAGGCAGGACTGTACAAAGTCACCAGGCCTCACTTTCTCCTCTGGAGCCATCTGGGTTTAGTGGTAAGACATAGATCAGGACAACTGGAGATGGCCCTGGAGGCAGTGGGAGACCTTGGCCTTTTTAAGCTAAGGTCTTTCCCAGGTCGTCTGTTTGAGTTGATACCCATTCAGTGATTAAGGCTAGGTAAGAACTGAGGCAAAAAATGGCCTCTTACTCAAAAAAAAAAAAGATCAATCTAGGAGGGGAAGACCTTCAGGGTTTCTGGCTAGAACCTAAACAATTGCTATTTATACTCACTCTGAGCAAACAAAACAAATAATCAAAGGATGAAAGGGGTGGGAGACAAAAAGATTAAGGATGTAGGGAAATTTGTGGCCTAGGAACTGGCTTTCCATAAAGCCTGGGGGAAAGGCTGGGTGATGTTGGGTTGAAATTTCGGGATGGGAGGGTTGAGGGGGTTGGGAATAATGACCTACAGGGGTTTAGAATTACTGGGCCAACCAGGTATAAGAACATTCATTGAGTTGAGGGCACTGCTGTACTTACCCAAGGAGACTAGAGATCAAACAGGAGGCATATTCTGTATGAGACAAAGGCACACAGTTAGATGGTCAGATGGGAGGCCCCGTTTCACTACTCTGCTTCCTTCTGAAGGGGTGGAGATTAGGCAAGAAAGGGGGCAGCAGGAGTAACCTGCATGGCAGAAGAAAGGAGTCCCCACCGACTTTCCTCTTCCTCTCCCTCAAGGGACAGGTGGAGCAGGAGACAGAAGGCCTGGAATCAAAGGGAAGGTTCTCTGTATTTTTCTCTGGTAACTGGGTGGGAGATTGGTCTAGCTGTAGGAGGGGGAAGTTGCCTTGGGCTGGCACTGATGGAACTCATTGCTTTGGGGAAGAGGGAAGACAGGTGCTTGGTCTCTTGCCATCTTCCTTTAAGGGATGCAGTGTACCCAGCAGGCTTTGTTATCAGAGGTAAGTTCTCCTTTTCTCAACTTCAGCCTTTAGTGGTATTTACTTCTAGTGGTGAGAGGTGGCCTAGTCCTAGAGAAGTCCTGAAATCAAATCCAGCTTATGTAATTCACTAGCTGTGTGATCCTGGTCAGGTCACTTAACTTCTGTTTGCCTCAGTTTCCTTAACTGTCAAATGGGGATAAACAGCACTGACCTCTCAGGGTTGCTGTGAGGATTAAATGAGAGGTTATCTGTAAAGCACAATACCTAGCACACAGTAGGTGCTTTAAAAGTACCTATTCCCTCTATATACCATGATCTTGAGTAGAAGATCAGTCACAGATGTTAGTCTGAGCTGAAGCTAACTAGAAATAACTTGTCCTGAAGAAAAGAATGATTCCAGAAGGGTAGTGTTTGAGGAATCTATCAAAACAGAAAGGCAGTGTAGTACAGAGGAAAAAATATTGGCTATAGAATAAAAAGGGCCTTTGTTCAAATCCTGCATATCTTTTATTACCTGTGCATCATTGGATAAATCAGTATGCTTCTCTGGGTTTGTTTCCTCATCTGTAAAAATGAAGAGATCATGGATTTTAGCTCGAAAGGACTTTAGAGGTCAACTAATCAAACTCATTTTGCAGTTGAGGAACTTAAAGCCTAGAGGAGTTTTTGTTCA